GCAGAGGTTTCTTAGCCTACATATAATGCCATAACCACTCATACACCCCTAGTTTTTGCACTGCCCACTTTACTACTACTTGTGGTACCATGCTAAATGCCTTCTCTAAAGTCCACAAATATGAAGTACAATTTTCTTCCTTCTCTAAATATTTCTTTAGTAGCTGCTTGGTCATAAACACTTGTTTTGCCCCTGTAGTCTTACCTGGCATAAATCAAAATTGCATTTCGTTTATGTCTACACTCTCCCTTATCAATTTCTCAATCACATTTTCTACAACTTTCATAACCTGATCAAGTAGTTTCAGCCCATGTAGTTGCCGTTCTCTCTTGACAGCTTAAATATCTCAAAAGTAACCCCAGTGAACTCCAACCTATTAATTTAGAAATTTCTGGAATCACTCCTCCTGCATTAGCCAGTGAGGAGGCTCTTTGCCCTCCAGCATGAGTTTTAGGGTTCTATACAAGTTAAGATTCCTAATTGTTAATTTTTATTTGACATTAGTTCTCTTTAAATATGAATGGGCCTATGTATTCCAAATCATGGAACTGGCAGTGCACAGCCTTAACATGGGCCACAAAGTAAATGCCCATAAGGCCACATACAAAAGTTTTGGAAGCATTAGATGAACGACAGTGTATTATTTAACAATTCTTGCAAATCACGTAAAACACAAATATTTGCTTAAAACGTCGAGAAAGATGTTTATTAAACACTGTACAAAACATAGATTTGTTTTTCATAATACAGTGTACTATACTTATATACCAGAAATAAAGGTGAAGCTGCCTTTATAAGTTAGTGTCCTCCACTTGACAACTTAAAGAATGAAACCCACTAAGTCTGGCAAGACTCTTCCCTTGGGGAAATTTCCTGAATGTGTGTCAGCTATACTGAAGCTCTATTACAGTAAATTATGCATTGTGCTGAGACATGGAAGGTCAAATCAGGTGCATTCAGTTAGTATATTCAAAGAGGAGTTTTGGTATACAGTACAGTAATCTTTTACAGAAAATTATTTGGATTACTCTGTTTCGTGAAGATCCTCTTAAAATGTTGTACTCAGGTTTGATCAAGTTCAGGACTTCATATTTGGCATCCCAAATATATTTAACAGTATTAATTATGAATGACCTTCAGGGTTTGGACTCTGTTGCTGCTTTGCATTACAGGGATCAGAGCTTAAGAGCATAATAAGCATTAAACACCTGAGGTTATGGTTGAACAATGATTTTCCCACAGTATTCAGCACTATTGGAGAAAGCTGTGTGGTATAGCTAAATGTTACATTATCAAATGTAAGCCTTTTTATAAGTACCATCTCCTTCCATTTCCAATTTCATTTAAGCTCACCAAGTCTACTAGTGAAGGGCACTAAGGTGTGAATGGAGGATTGATCCTAATGTCGGTTCCATTCTATAACTGAGTAGCAGGAAGTGTGAACTGAGCTTGAAACCATAACAGCTGACAGACAGGTGCAGGCATGCTAGTGGTCCACCACACTTAAACAGCCACCTACTTTTGATGGTGTATCTATGTTTTAAATATCCTGAAATAGCTCCAAGGGAAGATGTAATCAGAAGATACTATATCCAGGCACTTGAGTTGCAGTGGACAGGTGGACACAGTGCTTACCTTCCTGTTCTAAGGGTCACTGGTTCATTCCCAGTCCACCCAGCTGTAAATGGGTAACTTAACTTTACAAGTTGGAGAAGCAAAAGCAATCAAGTACAGTGCCAGTCAGGTTGCCTTCTTGCAGCATAACAATAGGGTTAGTAGAAAGTGCACTGTACTGTATGTACTGTACACTGTCCCAAACAAGGAATCATGTCTATTGAACCCACTTTCACCCAGCTACTAAACCTGCCAGGCTTAGTATGCACATTACTTGAATCGCCCAGCTGCAGGCTCAATTATGAAATGGGAATCCAGGATCAATCCTCCAACTGTCATATTGAAAATAATGTATACAGTGTATATATATAAACTCTTAAAGTGGTAAATCAATCACCTACGACGTAGATGTATGTCACACTTACTTCTAATATTCATTCTATCATACTATATGCATAAAAAAGAGACAGCAGTTAAATACTTGGTAAGTCATGTACACCGAGTACATAATTATAGTGAATTCTGCACATACAGGGTCCTCGCTATTCATACAATCACTATACTTATACTCAGGTATACGTACCACCAAAATTTTGTTGTTTGTATGCCATGCTCAGTTATATGCATACATACACTGTACAGTAAAACCTAAATTTTATGGATTAATGGGGGGGAGAAGTGATGTCCATTACCTGTAGTGCCAGCAGTCCATTAATTCAGGACATTCACATACGATACATTTATTCCATTCCCATACAATCTTATGTAATGACCGTATCTGATAACAACTTATATATTGAGCACCATAATCCCTGATTACAGTACAGTATTTGCGTATTTCATGTTCGCACCTTTGACAATTTGCAATAAAATATAAAATATTAATAATGTACAGTAATTTGAAATATGTGCTAGCAGATAAAATGCCCACTCAAGTTACCATCTACTGTATACTGTATTGCGGGTGGGGAGACTACGCTTTCATCAGCTGGCCGACTGTCTTCATTTGATAAACATTTATTAAATCTTTTAAAACTTATTTAATGAAACATACATTATGGTATTATGAATACAGTATTGAATGTATCTCTAAGAAATGAAACATTAAAGACATACTGTATTTAATGTTCCTACACCAAAAGCAATGAGGATATGGTACAGGCAAAGACCTGTGAGGGATAAAGTATACTGTAGTAAACAATCCCAAAGACACCACTTTTTCTCAATTCAGTAATAATTCCATAATTTCTAAACACTTTTTTAAAAATCAGAAGTCTCCATAAGTCCAAACAACTGTTTTATGGACTACAGTTATTCAGGTTCAAGTCATGTTTGAGCAGTGTACAGTACTGTATACAGTAGTGTGTTAGAAATACTATATGAAGTATACCTGTACCAGTAACTTTTATTTATTAATGTGTTTATTTATTAATGTGTTCTGAACAGATTGTGGAATTTTTAGCTACTTGTTCCTGGCAAGTAACCTTCGAAATTAACTTGCCCTGATATTTTTTGTTATTTCCCCGGACACATTTTAGAGGAAATTTGCTTGCCTGGTTTTCTATGGGAAAAGTTAAATAAACATTTTAAAACATTCAAATTTATTGTATCAACTCAGAGATCACTTGTGTCCATCTAAATGCCTTTTACCCTCACCCTTCTCCATCCTGTGGTGTTTGAAGAACCTGGTCACTTGGTCAATTTTCCTTGCTACTTATTTATGTTATGTTTTCACTTCAATCTGTAACACAACTTTGCTTACACAGCAATCTATGGGCGCTTTTATACAGACTTTCAGGTTAGGGCATAGTGAGAACAGACCAATAGAAATAGGAAAGATCATTTGGGTTTTCTTAGGTCAGGTCATTGTGGGAATAGAAAAGTCAGTGATTAGCATTGCTGTGATATTAGATATGACGCCAGGTCAAGCACAAAGCGCACACATACACAGTCTTTCACTCACTCCTAGCACCTCACTTGTTGACAGATCTCACTGGTAAACATGTATGGGGAGGTGGGGTCACGCAGTAGCTGACAAGAACAGCCCAGTCCCAACCATTGTAAAAATAATCAATAACTTGTAATCAACCAGTGTATTCACTCCCAGTCAATCTTACTTTTTGCCCTGTAGTTTGAGCTTCTCCCCCACCTAGTTATTATATATCATATTTGTATCTCTTATGTTACTTGTATATTATTTGTAAATCAAGAGAACCATTCCCCAATTATGTAACTGTATATTTTCAGCATTCCGGCTGCCATGCTCTTTCAATAAACCGTTAATTATTATTATTATTAAATTCCCATCTGGCAAGTGCCGAGACAGACTGCTGGGCACTCCTAATCTGCACACCCTGTGCACTTTATATGATTAGTACAGTACTGTACTGTACTGTACTGTATGTGTTTCTGTGATTTTAAATAAAGATTAACCAGCAAATGTTACCTAACATGACTGGCTAGGAACCCCCCATATGACATTGATTTTTATGGGATTTTTTTTTATTTATATAAATATTTTGATGGACTTTTAAGAACAGAATCCATATGCATAACGAGGACCCACTGTAGTTATTTCTCATAATCTTTCAATTTTAACCTAAGCATATTTACACAATATGAAAAAAATAATGAGTGCATCAAATACTTAACTCTAATATATAATCTATCAACGGGAGTACTGTAATAACTAATTTCATACTCAACAGTTAAGACAACAACATGCTGCTGTCTACCCTGCAGCTACCTCAGTAATACACAAGTCAAAGTCTTTATTTTGTTAACCCAATACAGTACTGTACAGTGAAACCTCCGTATAACATACTTCTCTCTCCATGTAATCCATTTGATGGGGGTTTCACATCTAACAGACCCTCAATATAAGGGATTTTCCTCTATACGCCATATATAGTCCATTAGATGGGGGTTTCACTTCTAACAGACCCTTGATATAATGGACTTTCCTCTCCATCTGTTAAATAGAGGTTTCACTGTACATACCGGTAAGTCTAGTAACATACCCACAAGATAAAATTTCAGTAACTGAGAGAGTTAAGAAATATTGTTTGATATCCAACCATTGAGTTTGTTTTGAGGTAAATGTTCAATGTGCAGCGTGATAACCTCGAGACAACTATCAAATAACTTGCCGATAAAACATGTACTTGTACAGGCTGTTCATTTCAGGTAATTAAATAATGTTTGGGGAGAACATATGGTACCAACAGGTAATAAAGAATTTTATGATGGTTCCACTAAAACCAACACAAAATTAGTAAGATTAGTTATAAAAAAAAAATGAAAATCAAATGTAAAAAATAATTATTATTAAAGGCAAACTCATTTTCATTACTACTAACAGATCACATGTAACATATACTGAAAAATATTTTTAAACTTTATTTAGTACAATATTTTAAAAACAACAAATATATTCTATTAAAATTATTTCTTCCATTCCAAATTTTGCTTAGTACAGTAGTACAGTATGGTATCTTCTAATATGTAAAAAAAAAAAAAAAGGAATGGGCCCAAAGTTTTACCATTACACTAATATTCAGCAACATGAAATAATATTGTTATCTTTCTCTTTCCTGCACACATTTATATATTCCTGAATTCATTACATAGTTCATGCTCCTCCATGTACTAATGATCTAATTCCTCCCATCACTTACTGCATTACAGCTACTAACAAGTGTCATTAAAAAGATTCATTAGCTCCAGGACCCCACCACAAGATACCTATCCTAAACACTGTAGCACAAGTACCCATGGACAACTGGCTATAGCAATAACTCCCAACTTATGGAGAGAAAATATTGATTATTGAAAACATCATAGATACTACAGTAAATTTATATTTATGTAACAAGCTTAAGTGAAATCCTCTGCTATCTGTTTGAGTTATGAGTTAACACACTCACAACCCAGGCAACATATTGATAGCAGTGAGGGACAAGTTTTTGCCAATAAATGTGGATACATCCCCTAATGAGCTGCTGCAATGTCCAAGTGGCCTTAATTCTAGAGAATAAAGTTGTAAAGTACCGTACTAATTATTGAATTTGTCTGATATTAAATGAGATCTATATACTACCATGCTGGTTAAACTCAACTGCTCTTTGTTCATGGTTTTATGCTCAGAAGTGGGTGAAAAAAATGGTGAGTGAACATTTGGGCCACGGTTAGGTTAGATTAAGTCCTAATCACCCTGTTCCAAACCAAATGTCCATGACCCAAACGTCCTACATTTACCAAAAACACATACAGGGACTCCTGCCTTTTCTATATCTCTGTGGAGTTGTAGGGGAAACAAAGTCATTTGTAATCTTTTCCTACTTTGTAAAATATCCAGAAACATCTTCTTTCACTTGTTCATCCTACAAATTTTTCTTTACCTTAAACCTGCCACTTTTCAATATCATATACAATTTTTAATTAATTTATAGCTACCCAAAGTAAGTGCATGGGACATTTATACTCCTTGTGTATGGTGTCTCCACTGAGCTGAATAAAATCGTCTGGCATTAGTCAAATAAAATATTAAAACAGGCGTCATAGTGTACTAACCTCTTGTGTATGGGTTTCTCTCTTAGTCAAATAAAATCGTCTGGTGTTAGCCAAATTAAATAATAAAAGTGGTATTCTCAAACCTGCATCGTATCATTCATTAACAAACCAATACTACACCTTTCATTCTAACCAATACTACACTGCACCATTCATTATCAACCTAAACTATAATGTACTATTCATGACTAATTTTTACTCACTACCAATCTACATTATAAAATTCTTTCCTAAATTGTACCAGATCATCCATTACTTCAAAAGATACTACATATCCTAGGCACCAAGCAATGTACAGATTTGGGATATTTTTGGATTGCAGAAATAACGACCACAGAATACGGTATCAATATACTGTATCTTAACTATGAAAAAATTTCTCACCACTCATAATGCACCTTAAAGTTATGTAACCACCCAGCTATAAATAAGTTAAAAGGTTTATTTATTTTAAATTATTGGTGAAACTGTTTGGCCTCTTCGCATAAAAGTAGCCTAGGAATGAGTACAACTTCAAACTAACATTGTTTAAATCACATCAATAATATTAGGAACAATATGGTATGCTTCCTCTTCACATTGCAACTCACCACTAACACTTGAATGCTCTTTGGATACAATTATAAGGGCAGAATTAAAGAAAATTAATCACAAATAACTGACAAAAATGCAGGGAACATTACTGCCAGATGTTCGGGTAGCAAGAACAGTGACTAAGAAGTGGTATGGGCTACAACCTGTAAACATAAGCCGATTTTCCTCAAGGGACAAAATATTACAAATGTGCATCTTTCATAACTCTGTCTTCCTATAGCTTTGTTATCCTACAGCTTTGTTCTCCTATAGCTTTATTCTCCTGTACCTTTGTTCTCTTATAACTTTGTTTTCCTATAGCTTTGTTTCATAAATACCTCCTCACAAACAACATTAATGAGTCATATGATCTACAACACTCTCCCACCCACCCACCACTATTAAAACCTCATGCACCATCTCAATTAACTACACCAAGAGCAACCAAAAACTGTTTCAAGATAACTTCAGGATTATTTTATTTACCTCACCATTGCCATGAGAATTAGTATATCACTATGATCTAGGATGAAAGAAAATTCCTGCTTATACATTAGTTTCACATCATGACTACCTTTTTAATTTAACCTGTATAGATCAGGGGCACCAATGGAAACTATAGTAGTGAGAAAGTAAGAGTTACTGTATCCAAAATTTTGAAGTTATAGATATGTACTCTACTTGTACTTTACTGTACAGTTTACTACCAAAATACATATATCTATTTACCGTACAGTATATACTGTACAAAATGACTTTCTACCACTAGCCATCTGAACAGAAAAACAAAGCATATTTTTCAGAGACATATACAACAGTATACAGTATAATGTATGTATGTGTGTATTCTGAAAGGTTCTTACTAGACACAACCATTTGATTCCTGACAGAGAATTCAACTATTCAGGTAATTCATGTAATTACACTATAATAACTTGTACAGTATCAACATACACTGGAACCCCCATATAAAGGACGTATCTCTCCATATCCGTAATCTGTTAGATGGGGGGTTTCACATCTAACGGACCTCGATATAACAGACTTCTCTCTTCATATAGTTCGTTAAATAGAGGTTTCACTGTATACCTGAAACAACAAACTTTACCAACAGGGATGAGGATAATTATAAAATAATTCCTGACACTCTGATATACACTCTACAGACATTCAATAAATATAAAAGGCATCGTTTCTTACTTCACTAAAATAAAGGCACTAACATCATAAGTTGTGCAGCTAAAATTTGTTCATCTGCCTCCATCATGCCAGTCACCAGCACGATGGAACAAATCTCAACAGTATATAACTCACAGGTTTTTCTCTATAATGATTAGTATAATTGGTATCATCATTAAATTATATAACTAAAATAATTGTTAATGGGCAGAGTGAGGAAAACATGGCATTAGACTCTACAGACCTAAAAGTCTGTTTGCTCTAAGAATATCTCCATCATAAGTATACATCAAGACTCAATCATATCCACCCAAAAAAGTAACGTCAAAATTTAGAGAAGTGAAGAAAAAAAATATATACAGTATTGATGACATAAATTAAAATCATTAACCTGAAAAATTAGAGCACCATTGGGGGAAACTATATAAAGTCATCCTACAGCTTGTCATGTCATATATCAGTCCTATACATCACGCAGCTACGAGAGAGGACCTTGCTTCCTCGTCATTTTTATCGAGAGGATCGTGCCAGTTTAACATGTTGATATTAAAAAAAGCATAAAATAAGAGTAAAATGTCAATGTACAGTACAGTAAATAATCTCTTATACTATGAATTTGTAAAATGAATGTTCATTACGGTAATTCATTTCTTTTATAAATATTTTTTCTGTATTATTTCATTGACGAAACAATAAACCACATACTGTAATTTATTTGTATTGTTTCCTATGGTTAGTCATCCTTTATGCAGCTAATATTTAATTTAAGGTTAATTGATTAAATGTGAATTCTTCTTTCTATATATAAAACACTGTCCGAGCACCGCTATATCAATGAAGATCTGTAGACAACCACAAATGAAGAACTGGAGAGGAGCCGACCGCAAGAAGAAGTAGATCGTCTTAAACGTGTCGCCCATCAACCACATCAGCACCATCTGTCGGCTGTAGAGAGAAAAACATTAAGAATGCCAAATAATCTTCATAAAATTTAGAAATTAATTACAGTACAGGTAGTTCTGCTATAACGCGATAATTGTGTTCTTGTAAAATATCGTGTTATAGAAAATCGCGTAATAGAAATAACAGGGCTTATGGAGAAAATAGGGTTAGGTGCAGATTACTCGAAATCGAAAAAATTTAGTAGTTAGCCTAACACAAAGGATAGCACAGTCTAAATAAATGTTACATTCATATCTAATAATGAAATCATACAGTAAATTTAACACTTTACCTTGAAAAAATATGAATGTAACTTGATGGGGAGAAGGGTGATTTTGAGGTTGATAACATCAAGCTTCTCTTCAAGTGTTATATCCTTTCTTTTACGATAATCACCGGGAATTCTATCATCAGAATGCTTTTTGGAGATATTCTTCTTTACCATATTCACAGTTAATACCACAAAATTGGAGAAATAGTAAGCAAAAATCGCGTTATAGCAAACAAGCGATCGCGTTATACAAATATTGTTCCGAATTCATAAATCGCGTTAGAGCAAATTCGCGTTATCAAAACACGCGTTATAGCAGAACTCACTGTACAGTATTTCATAAGACGGTTGCTCTGAGTAAACGTCAATGAAGTGTTAGTCTTTTAAAACACTTTGGAATTAACCACTTCTTTAAAATACGAACTTGATACACAAGATGAACACCTTTGCCCAGAATACTGTACAGCATAGTCTGGATTTACGCGGTTTTTGTTTAAGCGTTTGGTCATTTACGCGGTGCCTTGCCAGAATGAAATGTTTTAATTACGCAGTAAATTTGGTCATTTACACGGCGAGCGGCTGGAGAGGTGCAGACAAGCAGCGCCATTTTTTACTCACGCGGTCCATTCTTGACCATATGCGGGAAGCGGAGCGGTGAGGGATGCGCATTAGGTCGCCCTTACGTTATCGCTGACGTCATATGATGTATTAGACTGTGATTGGGCCACGCATCCTTACCACCCACACATTCCCTCCACCGCTAGCTGTGATTGGTCTAATGTAACATGACGTGCCCTGCCACCAGAAGTCGCTGACCTAGCTGGACCAGTCTCATTGTTCTCAGTCCGCGTATACAGTTCTCTCTTGTGCCCGCTATTCCCCTCACAATGGCTTCCGCTGGACCCCCACCCCCCGAGAAAAACCTTGAATTACCTGGACCAAGCCATGATTATGTGAAGGAAATCATCGAGTTGGGGGAGAAAATTAAGCTCATCCTTGACAACGACCCAGACAAGCATCGGAATGAAGAGTCTAATAACCATCTGATGAAAGTTATGGAGCCGTATATCTAGATCTATCTCGACAACATCAATGCTAGTGGTCAACGTAGTATTAAGGACTTCTTCGCCCACAACCCACCACAACCACAGCCAGCCCAAGTCAGTGATAGTGATAGTGACAGTGAGGATATGGACTTTAAGGGGTTTGTCTGGGAGGCCCTGCAAACCTCTACGAGTAGTGAAAGTGATTCACCGGAGGGCAACTAATCTGCCCTCTGCCTCGGAACCAGCCGCCATCCACGTGTGCCGACCCATCTTTTCTACTAACGTAAGCGTTAAAAAACCTAATATTATTGATATTTCTCTTAAACATTAATTGTGTGTGCATACCATCATAAAATTAAGATGTTATTTTTACAAGATACGTATTGTGTCGGAAAAAGTGGAGTTTGGGGGTCGGCCCAGTCTCTATTTCAATTAATCCCATATGTTCTGTTATTTCGTTTACGCGTTTCTTGTTTTACGCGGACCACCATGGGTTCAATTGACCGTGTAAATGCAGACTATACTGTACTATACTCCATTACTTATGTTATGAAGAAATATTCTACTACAGTAAATATATACAGTACTAAACTACATATGCCTTTGTGGTCAGTAAGCTGTAATAGCATTAGTTATTTGCTGAATATCCTTAAATCAATTTCATCCATATTCCAATATTAATTCCTTACTTCCTGTGAGTTTTTATCGTTGATATATGGCAATTTCCTGTTATTCTGCAGCTAGTAAAGTCATTCAGCATGCTAGATTTTAATTCCAAGATAAAGTGTTTTTATCCCCAGAAAACCCAAACCCTAGTGTCAATTTGTCATATTATATCAAAATTTTTAATTATTTTAACACCTTAACATACCGATTAAGAAATTGGGTCATAAAGGTGCAATATTGGTTACTGTACTACACACACAAATGGCCAGTAAAATAATTTTGCCCATCTTTTCAACACAAATAACATACTTTTTGTAAATAATAAATACTTATTTTTAACCCCTAAAGTATACAAATCGCTCCCAGTGCTGTACCTCTCAGACACAGATCCAAAGTGGGGTACAGGTGTTTCTACAGTGGAGCACAGGTACATCCTATAGATACAGTTTTCTGGCTCATTTTTTTTGCATTTTAGTATACAGAAGGAAATTAATAATAATTGTTTTATGGGCTTAAAAAACATAATAATCAGTTACCTCATTCCAAAAGTTGATTTGGACACAAAGTTCTTATAAAACTGTGGAACAGCTAGCATGGCCTCTGTTAGTACCGACACGAATCCTGCCGTCTCCACAAAGACGATGGAATCAATGAACACATACATCAGAAGACATCCCATGGTGGAGAAAGTCATCATAAACTCCACATATGACTGCACATCAGTCCATTCCCAAAAATAATCATAATCAAAATCTGAAATATTATTCACAAATTACCATTTGAAAAAAATGGTATAAGCATAGCAAAAATTACACTGTAGCTCTGGGAGGGATGAAACTCTTGGATTTGTTGAGAACACTTACTGTAAAACATACAGTACTGTACCACACTCCACCTACTGTAGTACTGTGAATAATATGAAGTCCTAAATTGTAAATTTTCTGAATTTATGATGCAAGTAGGATGACTCCCACATACCTATCATAGAAATAAAATTAATGCAGTTACAGTATAATAAAACTAATAAGTACAATTAAAACTGAAAAAGTATGAGATATGGTAATGAGTGAAGGTAGTATATAGAAATAAACTATTGAGGGAATTCTTTAAAGTAAATTGTTAAAAGGATTATTAGAAACAAACAGTACATGTTAAATATGATTACAGCTTAGTTCTTAACCATGAAGTTTCAATCTTACAGGATTGAATGTTGAAAAAAATTATTCTTTAACCCTTTGGGAATTTGGGAGGGGGGGGAGGGGAGGGGAGGGGGGTGCCATAGATTCAAGGTTGATGAGAGGAGGCTGCAGCTCCTTAAAGGTTAAAAACCACTAAATTACAGAAACTAGACAATCACTGAAGGTGTTGTATACTCGGGGCCAAATCAAAGGCAGAGCAAACTGGTAGATTGTGTTCCAGGCCAGTTGGCAAGTTGTTTTATTATTGTGAGTTATTCCTTGACACTTGGTAATACAGTTCTTTAACTCAGATTGTGGTTGTGTTATGGCTTCTATACCTTCAACAAATTCACACCTTGGTGACCTTAGGTCCAGCCATCCTCAAACATGAGGGGCAACCATTATTATACTACAGTAGACCCCCAATGTAACGCAATTTGGTACGATTTTGATATAACGTTGCACCCTATAGTACACCCAGTTTTGCAAGATAATTTTATGTTCCACTGCCATGTTACATTGAGGATCTACTGCATTACCAACTCCGCAAAAAAAAAATTATACTGTACTGTGTATTATCTTACCAGTAAATACATGTTCCTTTCCATGCACAAGCTGCCCTTTGTTACGAATAGAAACACAAAGTGAGATAATCATCATCATGGCTATATTCATGATAATGCTCTGGAAAAGCAATGGCAGCTCAAACCAATGGCCAAACCTGAAAAAAAGTATTTGAAAATAAATTCTTAACAAAAAGATATGAATAACCTCGCACTTAGTTTAGTTTTATTCCGTAAAGTCACCTTATAAGTATACATTGATTCAGCACGTGTATAGATAATGCATACACAATATAAATACAGGTACATAGTGCATGTATAAAAAATTTCACTATGTACTTTAACCCTTTCACAGCAGGAGGTCAACCTAGGCTAAATAAAATTGTTTGGCAGTAGCCAGAATAAAATGGCAAGTGCGTCAAATGCGGCAAAAGGGTTAAGCAGTCTCAACATATTATTTTCTCTCCCATTTCTAGTGAGTATTAAATTATATTTATTTAATAAATTTTATATTTCCATGCATAGATATGGCTTTGTTGAACTTGTTTTGTTATTGAATAAATAATAAGATATTAAAAGTAAAAAACATTTGCTCATGGCTGTCTCTCTGCTAGCTGCCATGACCAGCTGTTTTGTTAATGTCTGGTGCGATTGATTTGTAATTTCTTAACATGAGTCTTGTTCAGATTCATGGTTATAAGTGAGGTAAGTTGGATACCAAAAATTGTGGAAATGTGGACAGATAAAGGTTATTATTGTACTGTACTATAAAGGCTTTCACACACACTCACATGGTAGAACCTAAAAACTTATATTTCTAGACCTTATACAGGCATCCCTCACTTTCTAAATGGGTCAACTTTTTTGAAAGCCATTTGGTTATTTAATTTTCCAGATAGTGATTAATAAAATAAATAGGGTTCAGGGTTTATTCTTGTGCTTTACACAATTAATAGAACATTATTTAAAGTGTTATACCTAAAAAAATTATAATCTAAATAAAATATGTATACTATTTAGTGTATACAGTTGGTACAGTACATTACCTTACAAGGGGCTTTCCCTCCTCTGTGATGCTTCATTATATCAAGTTTAGTGTCAAGCATCACAGGTTTGTGGGGTCTCTTGGTGATGGTGGAGGTAGCAAAGGAATTACCACTAAGCTTGGATGTTACTGTGTATACATTCACGAAAGGATTGTATAAATACTGGTACACATGGATAAAGAGAGAATTTCACTTGAAGCAAACACAGAGCAACCGGAGTGTGGGGGGTGGGTGCAGGAGGGGTGACCATGTGCCTTGAGTAAGAGTACGTTCCTGCACATATGATGGAGGAAAATAGTTACCCAGTTGACTCCAGGGCCACACCTAGCATGCAATTTTAATTTTCGTTTGCACCAACATTTGGATTAGTGAATGTCACCTATGGATAGCAAGGTGAGCTGTAAGCATAGTATATTTGGATAAGCGAATATTTGGATAAAGATTATTTGGATAGCGAGGGATACCTTACAATAATATGACACATTTTTACATTGAAAACTTACCAAAACAATATTCTAAGAGTATTGGCAATTAAGAGAACAAGGCACACATAGAGTGAGAATCCCTCGGGATTCTCCGTCCGCTTTATCTCTAGGTACTGTGGGATGTATGGCACCACACCCCCGACCATCATGGCCAAGGCTGAAGTTCCACTTAATCCCCATGTTAGGGTGTCCAGCCAACCCTCCTCTGACATGATTGATCTGAAACAAAAGTCTTAATTACAGTCCTGTACATCAAGCTTCCAGCCATGCTCAACCAACTGACATCAACAGGAAAATCCAGCCTAATAAATTTACCGAAGGAAATTAAACTCATCACACAGATATTACAATATTGAAGGATTAAAGGGGAGGAGGTGATCCCACATACAAGTGGTTAAGGTAAGAAAGAAATTATCTTCCATAGAATTTTTTTAATAAACTTAGTAGTTAATGCAGCAAGTTGTTCCAAAGTATTGTCAATTATTGTTCAGGAGAGAGAGAATTTATAAAACTGGCATTACTAGAAACATAATCCTTGTGTATTTTTTTCGACTTTTCCTTAAGTTAAGAAATCAATTATCTTCTTTAGTAAAATGTCCGTAAGTTATTAGTTCATAAATAAAAAAATAAATAAAGATATAATTCCATCTTGGTGAAATAACCCAAAACTGTGATACTACAACAAATGTCTCCTCATTCCTATTAACTATTATGACACAAGTGGAATAACTGTTTTTCACATCTACTAAGAATAAAATAACCGTTATATACATACTTTATAGGTGTAAGTGTCATTGAGTACTGTAAAGGATTAAACTTGACTACTATGACACACTGACAGCCACGTAAGATAATGACAGCTGACAATTTGATAACATCCTTCACCTGTCTACCTGAGAGCCGTAATACTGAATTAATACAAAATAATTCTGTAGTTATGAAGGCTTACCATATAATAAATGGCCGGTTACTCATCATGTTGTAGATAAGGAAGGAAGACACAGGAGAGGGATGCTATCAGCTGGTGTGTGTTGACAGTAATGGACATCTGCTATATATTGTACTGAATGGTATCACATTATATTATATTAGATTCCATTATATCATATTATATTAAACCTTATTATATTATAGTTATCACATATGTTTCCCATCTGTTATATATACATTTATTATATAAATATTATTATTTATTATATTCACCTCTCACTCTATATATCTATAATTTAATGTATTAAATAAAAAAATTCTTTATTTATACGTAATATATATTTTTTATTTGCACGGCTATAATAATATAGATGATTTATCCTGGACTCAACACACACTCCGTCAGCCATGTGTTTATACAGGTGCAGTTTATTGTATTTTTAGGTCATATTTATCCAGTTTATAACTTTATCAACTGCTCTAGCGGCCGGTTTGGTCTTTTCTGATTTATGATCTATCTTGTCCGGTGTTAGTTCCGCTTTAGATAATATATTGGGGTAGGCCAAGTCAGGTTTCCTTGGGTTTGAGTCGTTTTTTTAATTTTTATTGGTAATGGATATTTTGCCGTGAAAGAGCTAAGTTCCTACTAACGCTATTTTACCGTGAGTGTGCTTTGATTGGCTTAGTACTTTCTGTTTAATATGAGTTGAGGGGGGGGGGTCTGCCCCCTGGCTAGGAAGTTAAGTAAGGTGAGATAAATTTCTGTTGTTGGTTAGGTTAAGTTTTAGTCAATTTCGCCTGTTTTATAGTGATAAGAACATCTGTGGAAAAAATTAAAAAATCGAGCAACTCCTTCTGGCTAATTATAGGTACGTTTATTAAACAAAGATCGACTCACGGCAAAATAAATGCCGAATGCCGCCAGTCACGATCACATATCATACTCGCGTTGTTAGCCAGTAATGGACGATTAGCCAGAGCACTCTTGGTAAAATAGCATTAGTAGGAACTTAGCTGGTCGCGGCAAAATATCTATTGCCATTATTTTACAATATCTTTATCGGTTGTTACCCCCACAGTCTTCCAGAGAGTGTTGTGATGGCACTGAGTGTGAGCAGTTTGACCAACACTGGGACAGGTACATACCCGATACTTGCTAAAAGGGAAAACCTATTTATTTTTTTCGTGGCATGCTGATAATGTTCTGGGCTTGCACAGTTCGATCATAACCTAACATAACTTACGTAACTTAATTTAATCTACCTAACCTTTTATTCTGAGGGGTATTCTCAGTACGCCTCAGTCTTCAATGATGTTATGATCGAACTGTACACGCCCAGAACATTTTCAGTAGTCTCGGTATATGACACCTGTTCCTGGACCCAGTGACAAAAACCATTAAATACAGTAGTTGTGGAATTGTTTTTATTTTATCAGATTTTAAATATAAGCTTGTAGGTTAGGTTAGGTTAAGTTAAGTTAGGTTAGGTTAGGTATTTTGCTTAAAATTTAGAAACTATGATTGGTGTACCATATTAAAATTGATTTACTTTTCAGGGTCATAAAGAAGTTGCCGAGTGGGATAAATTAGTTGTACAGCAATGAGGTTCTGTCAGCTTGTGCTTGGCCCTGCAGGGTCAGGCAAGTCTACATACTGTGCAGCGCTACAGAGGCACGCTGAGACCATCAACAGAAGTATGCAGTAAGTATGCTTATATATTTACCCTGCATTGCTTCTTTTATACATCTTAAATACAGCATATACACTGTATTTATGTGTATTGAAAACTAGTAGTACTGTAAATAGTCTAAGAATGTCCCATGAACTTATAACAACCTAATTGAGTTTAAAAAAGGTTCTCTTGATCATTTACATAGAACTGTACAGGCATTCTTGATTTACAACAGGGTTCCATCCCTGAAAACCTCCGTAAACTTGTTCTTCGTAAGTTGGAGAACTTTTTGCCATAGACTTTCATTATAATAACTGAGACACATTCTAACAAAACAACACTTTCCCAAAATGCTTTAAAATGTCACAAAACATTTTAGTAATGATAAACTGTGGTGTACACAGTGACTACAAGGCAATGATAAACATATTAAGTAAAATATATACTTTACAGTGCTCAGTACAATAATGATTTAATACCTATACAGTTTGATCAAAACCTAACCTAACCCAACCTTTTATTCTGAGGGGTGGAGACGAGTCTACTTGTCTTCATGTGAGTTTGAGAAGTAAGTTATATGGTAATTGTAAGAGAGAGATGACATTAAAAGCTTATACATGTGTAGACTTGCCATAATAACATTGCAAGTGTTAGAGAATAATGAAATAAGTAAACATTCTTACAGTATTTCTTTATGTAATCTCTCAGCATAGTCAACCTTGACCCAGCGGCTGAAGCATTCACATATGAACCAATTGTGGATGTCCGAGACCTGATACAAGTGGACGACGTGATGCAGGCTGATGACATGGATTTTGGCCCCAATGGTGGGCTGGTGTTTTGTATGGAGTATCTTGTGGAACTCGACGGCTTAGACTGGTTGAAGGTGAGTATTATTAATTTGCTTAAGGTAAGCGGGTAGTCTTTAATTACCTCAGGGAGTTGTGCTCCTGCCTTGCCAGCTGTTCCCACCCTGGTTGGTGTTAGAAAGGACATCTAATCATAAAAACTTTGCTCTTGTATGTCTGATGGCAACAAGGTTACCAGTGCTGTGCCCATCCCCTGGTCTCTGTTGTTATTTCTGGGACATCTCATTCTGGGTTTGAGTATTTTACTCCTGGTACAATACAGTTAACCTTTTAGCTACAGTTAAATTTCCATATTGTAGATTAAACCCTTCATTGTTAAATATATAAGAATTTTAAATTTTTTAAACCACAGTTAAACAGTAAAAACAGGTGAATATGAGTGAAATGTGAGAACACTGTATTACAGTACTGTACTGTACACAAGTCCCAAACCTGTCATTGTTTAATTTTTGTGTTGATGCTTTATTTTACTTTAAAATTTCCACCCTCTGAGGCTGGGTTGACACCTGAGGTGCAGTAGCTACTCTTAGTCAGATTCAAAGGTGTTTTTTTGCCATATAATACAGTGCTTGTATGTCTTCAATCACCACCATCAATAATAGCCAGGATTGTCTATTACATATTTCTATGAGAAGAATATCATTGTTAACCCCTAAATGGCAGTGGATGTTTTCTTAAGTGACGGTGGCAAACAGCAGTGGATGTTTCATGTTCCCTGCGTTCCATTTTTTGCACTTATGGGAAAGAATAGGGAATCCTTAGCCACTGTTTAAGGGTTAAAATGCCACATATGTCCCCCAAATTTGCAAGATTTGTACAAGGTGGGAACAGACAGTAAATTGAGTGACTACAGTACAAAAGACCAATAAACTTTACAGGAAAGTCCCTAAAATACAGGTACAGTATTCACACTATACACACACACACACACACACACACACACACTCATACACACATGCATAGATACAAAAGGAGAATGAAAACACAAGGGGTGAGATTATTGTTGTAATGAAAATGTAATTATTATACATAAGAACATAAGAATGGAGGAAACTGCAGCTGGCCTATTGGCCCATACTGGGCAGTTCCGTTTACACCCAACCCCTATTGCTCATATAAGCATCCAACCTATGTTTGAAGCTATTCAGCGTATTCGAGTTAATGATGATATTTGGTAACTTGTTCTATTCATCCACTACTCTGTTTCCAAACCAGTGTTTACCTATTTCATGCCTAAATCTAAATTTGTCTAATTTAAAACCATTTTACGAGTTCGCTCCTGGTTGGATAGTTTGAGTACCTTTGTAATGTCCCCTTTGTTTAGCCCTGCCTTCCACTCATACACCTCTATCAGGTCGCCCCTTGCTCTACGTCTCTCGAGGGAGTGCAAATTAAGATGCTTTAACCTGTCTCTATACTCAAGGTTCCTAATGCCTGGGATTAGTCTTGTCATTCTCCTCTGAATTCTTTCCAAGGATTCTATATCCATTCTGTAATACGGTGACCAGAACTGAACTGCGTAATCCAGGTGTGGTCTCACAAGAGCAAGATACAGTTTTAGGATGACCTCGCTAGTCTTGTAACTAACACTCCTTTGTATGAACCCAAGTACTTTATTAGCCTTGTTACGAGCAAAAACACATTGTTTACTTGGCTTAAGGTTCCTACTTATCATTACTCCTAAATCTCTCTTGCAGTCGGATTTCTCTATGGCATCATTGTTCATCTGGTATCTGGTTTCCCTGTTTACATCTCCTATACTGAGTACTTTACATTTGTCCACGTTGAATTTCATCTGCCATTTTTCAGACCATTCGAAAAATTTGTTTAGATCTTCCTGTAGTTTTGTGGAGTCCTCGTCAGATTTAATAACACGTCCTATTTTAGTGTCATGAGCAAATTTGCTTATGTTGCTGTCTATGCCGATATCTATGTCGTTTATGTATATAATAAATAATAATGGTCCAAGTACTGAGCCTTGGGGAACTCCACTTGTGACGTTGCTCCAATGGGACTTAGTGCCATTAATGCTCACTCACTGTTTCCTGTCCTGTAACCACGCCCTAATCCATTTAAGGATATTACCTTTGATGCCATGTGCTTCTACCTTTCTAATTAGTCTTTCATGGGGGACTCTGTGGAAGGCTTTGCGAAAGTCGAGATATACCACATCATAATTGTGCCCCTCGTCCACCAATTCGAAGACTGATGAAAAGAATGTTAATAGATTAGTTAGACATGAATGTCCGCTTGTGAAGCCATGCTGGGAATCATTGATCAATCGGTGCTTCTCCAGGTGATTTCGAATAGAGTTTGAAATGATTGCTTCCAGTAATTTGCCTACTATTGATGTTAGACTGATTGGGCGGTAGTTAGAGGATAGTGATCTATCCCCCTTCTTGAAAATCAGTATTACATTCGCTATCCTCCAGGATTCTGGTACTACACCTGTTTTTAAGGACATGTTAAACAACTTTGCAAAGAGCATACTAAGCTCTTCCTTACATTCCTTTAATACTCTGGCAAATATCTCATCGGGACCAGGTGACTTATTAGGCTTTAGTTTGTCTATTTGCTTACTAACATCGTTACTAGTCACTACTATCTCGCCTAGTTTGTTTTCTTCACTATCTCTGAATAAAGTCGGTGCCCCGGGTATCATGTTTAAATTTTCGGTGGTGAAAACTGTTGAAAAATATTTATTCAAATTATTGCTCATTTCTCTGTCGTTATCAGTGAGCTCGCCGGTGTCTGACCGTATTGGTCCAATCTTTTCTCGTGTTTTAGTTTGTTACATTTGGTAGTATCCTTTGGGGTTTGTCTTTGCCTCCCTTGCTATCCTTACCTCATTATTCCTCTTGGGTTTCCTTATCTCTGTTTTAACCCTACTCGCTAATACCCTATAATAATCCCGGAGGTGAATTTCGCCACGATTTATCCTTCTACCTATAGCCTTCCTTTGGCCAATGATGTTCTTTAAATAATTATTTATCCATTTAGGGTCATTGTTGTCTGATCTGAGTTTTTTGTATGGTATGTTCTGCCTTTGTGCATTAAGTAACTCACTATTTAAATTGTCGTGGAACTCGGCAATCTCAGATCTCGTTATCAGGTCGGTGTCATCTGTCAGGTTCACGGCCAAGCGCGACACCCCCTCTCTCAGCTGCCTCTACAAACTATCCAAGTTTGCCCTTCTGAAATCTGGTACTTTAATGGAATTTTCCTTACGTCTGCCCTGAAAATCTAACTGGAATCTAATTTCTTTGTGATCGCTGTTTGCAAGTTCGTTCCCTACCTCGACATTGCTAATGAGGTTTTCTCTGTTTGACAGACCTAATTCGAGTATATTATTACCCCGGGTGGGTTTGGTTATATGTTGACTTAGAAAACAGTCCTGGATCGTCTCAAGAAAATCCTCTGATTCTGAGTTACCTGTAAGGTCAGTCCAATCTATTTGGCCAAGGTTAAAGTCGCCTACTATACAGACTTTGTTGTGTATGGAAGCCCTGCGCATTTCATCCCAGATAAGTCGCTCATTGACTCTATCAAGATTGGGAGGTCTATATATTACTCCTGTGATTAATTTTTCCCTACCGTCGATTAATTCTATCCAAATTGTTTCTGTATTCCGCTCAGTTTTTATTTCCTTATTTATTTCACACTTCAGATTATCCCTAACATAGATTGCTACTCCGCCTCCTTTCCTGGTCTGCCTATCGGTATGGAACAGTTTGTAACCCGCAATTTGGTATTCGACCGGTAACTCACGTGTGTCTAGGTTGATCCATGTTTCAGTGAATGCTATTATATCGATTTTTTCGGTACATACCAAGGCCCTAATATCATCCATTTTGTTTCTCATACTTCTACTGTTCGCGTAGTATACATTTAAGTTAGTCGTGTTCTGAGTCCTCCCCTTACGCGTTTAGTTTTAAACTCCCTGTCTAATTTAGTTTTGTCATCATTCCTAACACTATTTCCCTGTAATCTTTCACTTTGTTTACCCGCTCCCACTGCAGTCTCCTCCACCCCCGTGCTCATATGTTCTCCTAGCAGTTTAAAGACTTCGATATCTTTTGAACTGCCCCCTCTAGAGCCCCAGCCAGGGTTGCTACTCCATCCCTAGACAGGTGCACCCCATCCCTAGCATAAAGGTCCCTTCTGCCGTAGAAGTTGTCCCAGTTGTCAATGAATGGGACTGATATTGACTTGCAATATCTGTCAAGACGGTCGTTGACACCAACTGCCCTTGACAACCATTCACTGCCAACTCTCCTTCTAGGCAGGACACTGCATATGATAGGGATCCCTCCCTTAGTCCTAATACGATCTATAGCTGCCTTGAACTTATCAAGAAGCTCCTCGCTCCTACACCGGCCAATATCATTGCCTCCTGCACTGAGGCAGATAATGGGTTTGTTCCCATTACCAGACAAGATATTGTCCATCCTGTTAATTATATCCCCCACCCCAGCTCCTGGCAAACACACCCTCATCCTATTTATGTTTTTACCACAAAAAGCCCTGTACAAGTACCTTACCTGTGAGTCACCAACAATTAAAGTTTTTATACCTTCCTTGTCAGCCCTGTCCCTGACTGTACTAACGTCCAATTCGTCTATCAAGGGACTGAATGAGTTGGTACACTTAGCTGCTGATGTCATTGTTGACGTATCCTTGGTGTGTTTCTTCATCACCAGTTTGGTCTTCCCTCTCCTTACAACCTTCCACTCGCCATCTCTTCTTTTAATTTCAGGTTCTCCAACGTGGCCCTCTCTATTTCTTTCTTGGCCCTCTCCAATTCTTCCATGGCCCATTCCAGCTTGGCCAACAAACTCGCAGACCCCAGACCACACATAACGCTGGCCATATCTGCTAAGTCTCTCCCTTAATCCCTTGGGTATGAGAGCCCTCTATGCTGAATATAATCATCTGGCAGTAACAACCTTCTAAGAAAAATTTATGGAAATAAATTTTTTTTTATTTAACAGGAGCAACTCGGAGATTACGATGATGACTGTATATTGTTTGACTGTCCCGGTCAGATAGAACTATACACACATATGGATGTCATGAAGAGGTCAGTGTGTATTTCTTTTATTAACTGTATTGTATCACTTCTCTTTGATGATTGATAGTACTGAATCAGTTATATATGATGTTTTATTGTTGAATCTGTTAATGTGATTTATCTTAGTACAGTACTGTATTGAATTACAGTAAAGTATCTATTGTATGTATGATTTGATTATTCTAAATATGAAATTTAAGAATATAAAATATTTTTCATTTATCAAACTTTTCACATAATTATTACATGGGAGTAAATGAAGAGAAATTGGACAATCAGGCAACTGACTCAGTGACTGTGTGCCTTGTGGTGTGAGTTATGCATCTACTTGTCTTCATGTTAGTTTGAGGCGTATCAGATGATTATAGGATGAATGATGACAGATTGAAAGCTTATTTGTAGACTTAATAACTTTGAAACTGTATTAAAGTAAGTTAGTGTACAGCTATTTGCAGAAACTCATAGTAAAACCAAACTGATACAAGCACTATAGTTCATGATAGGATCTACATTATATAATTATAAACATTTTACAGAAGTTTCTTGCTCCAAAAATTTTTGGTTTACAGACACTTAAGACTAATTCTTTTTATGTTGTGTAGTTACCATACTTTTCATATAGGTAATTGTACATCATTTGTAATGGTATTAATAAACTCTTGCATCAAATTAAAAGCAGGTTATTAATATGTCACTGAATCTACCAATGCATTCTGTACAATACATGAGACTCCAGGTGGACTGGATACTTGTGCTGTACGTTCAGTCTGTTGCAGTGACTTCTGTTATCTGGGGTCTCTTTGACAGCATTGTGTGTCATCTCTAATTCTTGGAGCTACTTGTTGGTCATCAGATTGTTGATTAATTTATTTATATTTATTTAGATTGCAGTTGTTTTAGCATGTATATAGACAATGCATGTATACAGTGTACCTAGACAATTTGACCAAGGATTGCTACCAAAGCCATCAGATGTTTAGCTCCACTCATTTAACTTTCAGACTGGTGTACCATCTTCAATCTATGGACTTCAGAGTGTGTGCTGTGTTTGTGCTAGATTCTGTTTACATGGTTGACTCTGCAAAATTCCTCTCAGGATCCCTGGCAGCCCTGGCGACCATGGTGCAACTGGAGGTGGGCAGCTGGTTCTCTATAGTACTGGTGGAAACAATAGTAGGAATCAGTGGTGGTGCAGGAAATTTTTATTATCTGTCTTATTTAATTAGTTAATCTATTATATTCAGAGTTTAGGAAAGTGTAAAGAATGCAAAGTGAAAAGAGAAAGGTCCAGAATCAGGTCAGATCAGAGGTTCAGTGATCCTATTTTTGGAATAAAGAGATGGCTGAGACCTGAAACGTGTGTTACAGCATTACTGTACTTCAGACATATTATTCCAAAGGGCCAAATTGCAAGAAAATTTCAGCACAACAAATTAATTTACCTAATACAGTACTGTACTTTATACATAATGGCCACTGCATCCAGAGATGTAAACCTATTCTCATTTTATCACTACTGCACTGTTGACAATTTTGATAAATATATTGTAATTGGGAGACTAGAGTTGGTAAAAAAAAATTGTTGGTTTGATTCTAATAAGTTCGTTTACTTTTGTGTATTTCAGGTCCCACATATAAACATTTTGACAAAGATGGACCTCTTGAACAAATCAGCTCGTGAACAACTGGAGATGTTTTTGGAACCAGAGATCCACGAGCTGCTGGCATCTGAACACAGTGTATCCAGGTTTAATAAAAGGTAATGATACTACTGTATTGTTTCTATTTGTTCTCACAGAAACTCATGAAAGCTGTTGGGAGTATTAAATGTTGATTTCTTAGACATTATAGTAATGATATTTCTTCAGTAAAATTGTAATACAAGTTTATAATTCATTTAGCATGTATACAGACAATGCAGGTATACAGTTCAGCATGTATAAAGATAATGCAGGTACTGTATACAATTCAAGATATATATAGACTGCAGGTATACAATTTCCAATGTATAGTCTCATTCAAGATTCTTCGAACACTGCTGGAGACAGGTGAGAACTCGAGGCCGTTTGTTTACTATAGTATGTAGTATAATATAATACGAAACAACAAAGCCCAGCTATTAATTAAGCAACGGGAAACTATGTAACCGATCACCGATCAATTTTAAATTTATTCATAATTTTTACTACATGCTTGGGTGTCGAGCTGTCTCCAGCATTGTCGAAGAATCTTGAACGAGACTGTACCTAAACAGTACAGGTATATAACAATGATAAACAGTAAGGCAATTTTACCTAGGATAGCTGACAGAGCCATCAGATTCTTATTTCCAGTAGGGTCCTTTTGAAAATTTCTATTGCTCTATGGAATTTTAGACTTGACTTACTAGATTACTATGGGTTACATACTATAATAGTTTCCATTTGCACCAATACATAATGGTAACCAACTGTTATAAAAATCTGAAAACTTTCAGCACTGTCTTGTGTGGGGTGTTGTGACAAGGACTGTGATTCACTAACAGTACAGTAGGAGATGCATGGGGTGACTCACAGACTATAGCTTATAAGAGATAACCTGCACAATTCCTTGTCATGTTAAAGATATTTTATTCTCACTTTCAAAAATGTATAAACCATTTTGTTCATTGACTTTTAGTGTAATAGAAGAATGAGCAATTATCCATGGAAATTAATTGTGTTTACTTTACTAGAGAAAAGTTATGTATTATTGAGGAAAAACTGCATTTCCATTGAGAAAAAATCCATTAGTTAGAATATTTCTTTTATAAATCCAGGATTTATTTCAATTTATGAACATATCTCCTTCATTTATTATTGTTGTTCAGTCTTTAGTAAAAATATCAGAATGTTTTATTGCTTTCAACAGTAAAAAAAAATTGCTCGAGTTGAATTATGTCTGCTAAACATTGTAATGACACTATATACTTTAGTTACTGTTTGTTGTAATGAAATTAAATTTCCCTCAGATACCACAAATTAACCTCTGCCCTGGGACAAGTTCTTGAAGACTTCTCTCTTGTGCGATATGTGCCTCTGAATATCAACAGTGAAGAATCTCTTATGGATGTATTAATCCAGACGGACTTTGCCGTACAGTATGGAGAAGATCAAGACGTCAAGACCCAGGACTTTGAATACCCAGATGCTGAAGATGAAGAACAAGAACCCAGTTTCAATTTTTGAAGTACATTATTAGGATTTACATTGTATTTTTTATAAAACAAAATTATCTGAAGATATATGTTTAATTTCCTACTGAAAAGCTGTAAAAGGTTACAAGAGGAAGAATGAATAATAGAGCAAGATACTTTGAAATAAGATATCAGACTCATCACACACAAAATATCTGTAAGATGCATGTTTAGGAATACTGTATACAATACTGTAATATCAAATCGGTAACAATAATACAGTACATTATATGAAAACTAAAAATTTTGGTGTTTACCCAACCTCAATATGACTAAAAATTTTACACCACATGATATGGAGAAAGTTTGTGGTAAAAGTGGTTCTATAAAAAGCATGTTATAAGAGTTAATGGTAAGAGTGTGAAAAAGTAAAAGTGGGTCCCATAGGCATGTCTGCCTAATAGGGCCAGTGTAGATATAGCATATTGCACTGTACACTAATCCTTTGGTACACAAGGAGGCAGCATGGCTGGTACTGTGCTCGACCGCATTCATTTCCCCGAGCTGTAAACTTAGGTATCCATTTACAGCTGGGTGAACTGAGAATGCCTCGGGATCAAACCACCAAACCATGGTAGAGGAGGCGAGTGCTGTACAGTATACACTTGACCTCTGCACTCCAGGACGGTGTGAGGCGTATTAAAATTATGAGAAATTGTTAAGATGAAGAGTTACTAGAGGGGCAATGTAGAGAGTATTAAAATGTATGAGTAAAATGCACATATATGATAGAATAGAGGAGCCATTTGGGAAGTATTAACCCTTTCAATCAGAGGATGTACAGTACCTTGAACAGATTCCTAAACTTATACCTGGTACAGTGGCTGGTGTGTTTTGCGAGATGTTGCAACTTTGTGGAATGTTTATATAGCATCATTAGTCTGGTTACTATTGCAAGGCTCCTTGGGGCCATTTTGAGAGTTTATATTCAGTGTAAACAAACACACTTCTGCCACATCTCACAAAATATGCTAGACTCTGTAGCAAGTACGTACAGTATAAGAGCAGGCACCCAAATATCCTAAAACACTAAGCAGTGCACCAGAGGACTTTCCTGGTATGTCCTTATGAAATATTGCTTTGTGCCATTGATGGAATGCTCGGATATTCCACTAGTCTTATCACCACTCTTTTGTGTGTGTGTTTGGTGAGTATTGAGATAATGTGGTGGATTACTATGGTCATGGTATGCAGAAAGATTATTGTTGTGGTGAAGGGTGATTATACTTAACCTTTTCATCTCTGATTGTCCTGTTAGCCACTTGGGGGTTTATCACATCTGTTACAAACTGTTGGCAAGTACTGGGTATATTCTGATGACAGAATGTATCTGTACCTGTGTTATCATAACACTCTAGCAGCTTGTTCCAAGAGTTCACAACTGTCACACATCCAACACACCTTAAGCTTAAAAAAATGGGTCAAGGCGGAGCATCCAGTGGTATAATTCCTTTACAAGAAGACATCTCACATAATGTTTCTAGTACTTCATGCACTATGCTGGTCAAACTCACTGGCCTATAATTGTTGGTACAGTGACGATTTCCATTTTTTAATAAAGAAACTTTTGCTCCTCCATGTATCAGAATTCTCTTAATACGAGTACTCTAAGGGGCATAGCTTTAATTTGTTTAATTTTCATCATTGGAGTGATAATCATGGTAACATTCTCATATGTATCTATTAACACCATATGTGTACTAATCCAGATGATATTAAATGTGCTTGCCAACAGTGCGTAACAGTCGTGACCGATCGTCCAAGCGGCTAACGAGCCGATCAGTGGTGAAGAGGATAAAAGTAAAGTAAAAAAAGTATACAATAATCCCTTGAGCAGTAGGCTATATACCAGGTGCCACTAAGAGAGCTGAGGCTCACAATTGGCTCAGCCCTGTCAATATTGTTATTATTGTCCACTCTGTATCTGTATTTTTCTGGCTAAATAAACTGTTTCAGTATCAATATTAAAAGGAAGGAAGCTGGTGTACCCGGAGGAAGCCTGTCACATTCTCACCTGTGTCCGAGCCAAGACTCGAACCCATGAGGTATACCCGTAACTCTGTACAGCAGCCGAATAAATATTTCAGTAATGATTAACGTCCAACATGTTTAATATTCGTCGAAATTTTTGTGTACATCTTTCCTGTAAATAACGATAATCATATGAAATATAAATATCATAAATAATAATAAGGTTTAGTGTGTTAGTGTTGGACCCGTGACCTCCAGCCCCGGGTGTTGTCTGCTGCTCAACACTACCATCAACACAGGACAATATGTCGGCTGTAGGCAGAAAAACTTGTAAGCATTAGCAATAGTGTTATCGTTTCAGTAATATCATTATTGAAGTTCATAATGGTTCTGTATGCACTGTACACAGAGAGTGAAAGTAATAAAACGGTGGTAAACACTTGATTCACACAACTCCTTTTAACATTCTCGTTTCCATTTATCTCTTTAATAGATTGTAAATAACGTTTCCACAAAGTTTCGTCCAATTCTATCAACTCTTTCTGGTGTTAGTCTAAAAAAAAACTACCAAACCGACAACCGGACAAATATCTGCAGCTATTGGGGTCCTTATGTGCTGTAAGAGTGTGCAGTTCAGGGTAATTATGCAGTTTACAGCAACCACAGGATTCAAGAATTCACTACACAATCGATAGAACTATTTTTTCTATGATCATTTTCTTATGTTACACTTCCGTCACAAATTGATAATAAGGAAGTCATTGAATTTTAAAAAGAATGAAATAAAAGCACCTGTTGCTCAAATTGTGTGTTCGTACGTTCGCTTACCTCCTACGCATGTGCTGGGGGGCGGCCGCCAATCGATTCGGGGGTGGCCACAGCCAATCAAATCTAGGGCGGGGGCGGCAGCCAATAAAAAAATCTCAACTTTTGATTCAACCAAATAGCATTCAATACTCATCGTGGGTGCTAAGATGCGGGACATTTAAATCAGTTGCAACACGGAGCCATAACATGCTGGGTGTGATTTCGCTTATTGGAAGATTATTGTATTATTTCATTCTAAAAATAAGGAAACTTTAGAGAACAGAGGAACCCACGATGTATTCTGGTCCCTGACTCAGACCCTGACCCTGACCCTGACCCTGACTCGGAGTAAGGCAAGAAATACTCTAACAGCTATTTATCTTCTCGTGGAGGCTGACCATGTGACTCTAGGGTTATTTACATAGCGCTTGTGGGTCCGAGGGTGAAGGCCCCTGCTAGGATTACCGTGGGTCCTGGGGCGGAGCCCCCTCCTAGGTTGTTAGGTAAGGTATAGTTTGGTTATATGGTATAAGTTGGCAAGCACAGAGTACCGGGAATTCAGAACAAGCGGGGGGGTGGGGGGTAAATCACAAACAAGTGATTTCTGACAAAAACGAAGGTCAGATTTGAACTAATCGCATCAAAACCTATCAGAAAACCACATTTTTTTCTTTAAATTCCATGGTTTCTGTAATATGCACATTTACCCAGTTCAGTACTGTATCTGATACTTTAGGTAAGTACCCAGTATTATCACTTGTAACCAGAGACGCTCATGATTTTATGTCCGTTAAATACAATACTGTATTATCATACTATTGCTAAAATTGTAAAAGAAGTTAATACCCTGAAACAATTGGTAATACTGTCTTACCTTTTTAGCAGTAATATTTAAGGACAAGGACACCAGTTTTCATCTCAAAGAAAACTTATGGTAATACTGAAACAGATGGCAGTAATCCTGGAGAAGATGGCTAACACCAGAAGGCATTCAGTTTCGTTCATTTTTTCCACATTATTATAGGAAGTATTTTAAAAGAAGTGACATATAATAAACCCTAATAGAACCTGACCTAACCAACCGAAGAAACCTACCTAACCTTACCTAACTTCCTAGCAAGGGGGCGGGACCCAGACCTCCCTCCATATTAAACAGAAAGTACTTATTTGCATAGCTGGCACCAATAAAAGCAACTTTCTTGAAGCGGCATGGTGTAATTGTACTTTGTTTTTGTGGATGTGAGAGTACACTCATTCTGAGCGTAAACACAGAGTAGACAATAATACATGCCGACATGGCAGATTTTTCATCTGAACATTTATGGTAAATAATTGATTTCTTCGTGTGCAAAGCACATGAGACATCATTTTAGTGTCATGTGATCATTTTTTCAACGTGTTTTACCGTGCAATTTCTCTCATCCTTCATACCCTGCCCACTACAGGTGATTTATGATCATAGGTAGAGAACTAAAAAAATTAAAACCAAATACTTTACAGTCGCTCCTTGATTTACGACGGGGTTCCGTCCCGACGACCAGGTCGTAAGTCGAAAAGGCAAAAATAATACATAGAAATTCTAAATTGGGTGTCTCTTTTTCGTCTCAGCACCACGAGAACTCTCACTTTTATGCTTGCCAGCCATTTTAAAGGGAATTACAAACGAAAATTTTGTCAGTACACATCGCGATCACTAACGTCGGGACTCGAAAATATGTAATGTGAAAAATATTTTATACTACCATGGCCGTCGTATGTCCGGTTTGTCGTAAGTCGAATATGTCGTAAGTCGAGGAGAGACTGTGCTTATAATTAAAATAAAGTTATCTTATCATTTGTATTACTTACTATCATCCAAAGAACATCTGTTGAAAAAATGAACAAACTTGAACAACTCCTTCTGGAGTTAGCCACCTGCTCCTATAATACTTTTAGTGTATTGTTGATTGTGATAAATTAATTATTCTTTCTCAGGTAATTGTGTACAGTACTTAACAGGCATTAAACTACTTTGATTACATTTAGGATGCCTAGAAGTACCAGATACAGCTACATTATATAATTAATCATTCTTAAAATTAACCAAATTAATCTACCTAAACTAACTAAACATAACTTAATCTAAAATACCAGTTATCATAGTAGTTAATGGGCATGAGATCATTTGTCCACTGTTTGTTTGAAGATGGATTCATCTGGTTCCTTTCATTGAAGGGAGTTATTTTTACAAGAGGATAATTGAACATAACTAGTAATTTAGGTTATATAGGATAGTAAGGTTCATTTTATGATAACTGAATTGTATTAACAGAGTACAGTATCTGGTACTTCTGGATGCCCTGATTGTAAACCATTAAATACGAGATTACCCTTTCTTACACCTAGCAGAATAAGGCTACGTATCCCAAAAAGGACAATTGTTTATTCTAGGATTTGCAATTTTTCTAATATTACCTGTATTAGTTTGGCAATACTGTACACACAAATGTTGCAGCAGGTTCTCAACAACAACACAGTGCCATCATCTGTGTCTTTTCTATACACATGAACACTTGCAGCAGGAGTTATTATTACAGGTATTCCCTGATTTCTGAAAGGGTTCTGTTCCTGAAAAAACTTTTGTAAATTGGATCATATTTTTCCATAGAACCCCATTATAAAAGTTGAGGTTTGTTCCTAGAAAGAAAATTTTTCTCCAGAATGTAATAAAATGCAATAAAACATGTACAGTATTTAATGATAGTTTTTAGTGGACATAATGATTATAAGCCAATAATAAACAATGTAAGTGAAATACATATGCAAATTAATCACTGTAGTGACGTGACCCGTGTATATACAGTACAGTATATGCTAATAATCACACGAAAGTTCTTGGGGGTTTTGTGTTTTCTTTTCCTTACTGGTTATCAACATAAACGGTTCATATTTTGAAACCCAATTAATGCTGACTGTACAGTACTTGTATATATATTTCAGTATCTCAGCTGTATCGCCAAGGATGGGCAGAAATCCCAGAGGTGATGGCTTCATCTTACCTTCTTTTGGTTGGTAAGTTATATAATTGATGCATTTGTAATTTACTGTAGTGGGCTGAGTTATAAAGTTATAACATGGGATTTTATGGTTAAACTTTCATTTTTGCTAATTAACAGCACTTGTTTATTTATAACATTAAAATCATGCCAACACACTCAGGAGTGTAACCCCAAATTTCCCCTAAGAAGTTTAGTTTGATATACGTTTAATATACAGTATTTGAGATCTTCAAGTTAAGGACTTACTGTACTGTACTGGAAAATAATTTAAACTACTTCTTCTTTCAGGTGTTGGGTTTATGGGTGCTGCTTCATTGATGTATGTTAAAAAGAATGGAGATAACAAACGTTATCGTTTTGAGTATACAGGTAAGTGCTCTGAGAAATGTTATATGTAGAAGAATAACAACTACAAGTGGTCCCACTGAATGAGTAACCCAGGAATGAGAATTATGTTAAAGACATCCTGTACTGAATAGTGTTTTAGAATATGAAATTTCCATGAACAAGAATGCATTTGATTTAACGAGAAATTTTTTGGGTAAACCAGCTCGTGTTATCATTCATAGAGTTGGGCTTGTTATCCTTTGTCTTTGGCTGCGAGGCCAGCCAGCCAGGCCAGTGCACTTGTAGATTTCTTTCCTATATTCTGAGGTAGTGGCAAGTTAACCCAGCCTAGCTAGCCAATGAGCCCAGACACCGTGGTAGCGTTTGTTCTCTGGGCACAGCACTGGCCACTATCACCTGTTAACAGCTCTCGTTCATCACTTAGAAAGACTGTGGATTCTAACCAGGTGTGCTGCCTTCAGAACAAATATAACACTTGTGATACTGAGTGTACTATAGCAGTGCAAAAATAAAATGTAAAGTGCTTAGTTTCAAAAATCAATTTGTCTTTTGAGATACAGTATTCATAATTGCATACACCTGCTAGTTGAATTAACCCTCCACTGTTCATCTTTCACCACTTCAGTTTCAAGTTCATTAGCATAGGTACAAATAAAGAATAAGATGGAACAATACTATTACAGCCAAAGCGGTTAGCAAGCCGATCAGGATAAAAGAAAAAAGAAAACTTAAGAGTAAATAAGGAAAAATTGGACTACAGTACAGTACAGTACGTATTACCACGCTATACCAAACTTATATAGACCAAAATTTGCAATTCAGTATTATAGAGAATAAAAGTACAGCATAGAATAAGAAAACGTGAATTGTGTGTGGGGGAAATGGGAGGTAAGATGATTTGGGGTGTGTTTGAATCAGCAGAAGTTCCTCCTCCTATTATCGGAGGCTCCATTAAACAAACGCTACTGTACAGTATGTAATTTTATCATAATTCCCATATTATTTAGGTTCATTTGGTGTCATGTTAATACAAATTGTTGTAAAATAATTAATTTTAAGTAAAAAAATCACTTACTCAATCCCAGTTATTATGTCGCATTAAACTCCCGCTGCTCTGTTTACACACATGAACAGCTGATACCACTCGGCCAGCCAGGGAAGAAGCTGTACAGTATATATAATATAGAACTATTTATTGTACAATACCTGTGTATAGGAAGTTGTATTTTTTTATGGATTGTGTATGATGTTCAACTTTGAGTAAAGTCTTGTGCTACCAAACTATATTTTATGAAAATAAAATAAAAATCCAGTATTGTGTCAATGGATCTGGGTTAAAAACACCAAAGTTTTTCATATACTGTTTACTGAACAATGTTAGGTACTGGACAAGCTTTTTGGATTTGTTTCATACTGAAAAACTCCATAAACTGAACTTGAGTACTATGGAGATGTAATACTATATATTTGTACTTGTACTGTATATGGATGCTTACTGGCCTGACTGTTAGTATGTGGTAGAGTGGGTGACTCGTTTGCTAACATAGGCTTATGCTCACTGGATGATTGTAATTACAGCACTTAGTGAGTACTGCACAGTGAAATACCAATTTTATGGATACTGTATGCAATTTAATAGAGATATTGATTCTTGGGAATGGATATTGTCCACTACCTATATGAGGAGCTCCAGATCATAATCTGCTAAGTGCCAAAATAGAAAATGGGGGAAAATGCTGAGGTAGGAATGTGTGATATACAATAGTCATTTCAGAGGACTCACCCACATGTACAGGTTCCCAGTTGGTTCTCTGACTTGCCCAGGGGACAGAGGAGTGGTTGGGTAATAGTACAATGCAATACATAACACGTTTCAGCGATAAATTGCTCTTAGCAGGTTATGGTTCAGAGCTCCTCATCATGCAGTGGTGGCCATACTCCCTTTTTGTGTATTGAAGACTTAGTGCAGTACAATATCCACTCTACTGTACTCAAATTAACCATCAAGCATGTGGGGCTGTGACCCACTTCCACCCTTTTCACTGCTTATTGACTGAAATGATAACATATTATAGATGGGAGAAAATTTTCACAGAATGCAAAGGCTTTCAAGCAACAATAAAATATTTAAGGTACAATATTTTATGTACCAATGAAGTAGTCAAGATCAAGAATAAGATCATAAGTAATTTAAGCCTTTGTGGATTACCCTAAGTCTCCCCCCCCCCCCATAGTTACTGGGTGGTTAAACTTTAGGCTGAATAAGACATCAGGTGATCCATGAAGTCTAAGCTATGAAAGGTCTCATTCATGGTCTCAGTCTTGAGTACATCACTGGTGTGTACTGTACTGTATAATACCCCATTTATAGATGAGGTTGACTGTCAGAATCATAATAATGTGTATTATTTTTGTGAATATTTCTCCTCTCATGTAATATAATTCTCCTTTTCAGTTTACCGTCCTGATGATCCACGCATTAAAACAATTAGGGAGTGATCCAGAAGGCTACTCTTCTGTGATTGATGCCTAGAAAGGAAATGTTAATAAGTGTAAATTATCTTTTTTGAGAATTAATTATTGTATATAGAAAACAATTAAATGTGTATTTATTATCCTTAAGTACAGTAAACCCTTGATGACTCGGCACATATGGGGCTCTGGCCTTGCCGAGTTATCTCAACTTCCGGCTTATCGAGGCACTTTCCCTCTCCTACAAAAATACAACAATAAAAAATCATCGACCCATATATGTGTATGTGTAATTACTAAATGTAAAAAAAGTTACACTTAACAGCACTGCAGGTGAAGATGAAGCATCATAGTAGGTGACAGAGGTATGGTATGTAACACAGAGGCATGGTAGGTAACGCAGATTTTAAATTAAATTTTTAAATTAAAGCATAAACGTTCATGGAGGAGAAGAAGGAAGCCGTCTAAAAGGAATAATGAATAAAAATTGTTTAATAACTCAAAACAGTGCCAATCATCACAGACATACCGGTATATGAAAGGGATTACAAGGGCAGAAAGTATAAAACTCAGAAATTTATACTATCCAGTACATTCAGGTGAAAGTCTATTACAGAAAACTAAATATGAAATATCTGAGGACGACACTAGTGACGAAGAGATCCCTCTAGCCTTACTACAAATAAGGTTAAATAAGAAACTTGCCAGATTTGACGAACTGAGAAAACAAAGTTACACCGACCTAAACTTCCTCTAAGAATGACTACTTCATCGCCAAAAGGCAGTCTTGCTGAGGATGTACCAACAGGTGAGGAAAGGATTAAGAAATTTGACTGTGTTCTCATTTATTACACATTGTCACACAAATATGACTAAAATCTAAGCGTTTCTGTTTAAGAGTTTTTGGTTTAAGTAATACACTAATATAATACAGTAAAGTAATAGAGTAATTCACCAGAGTTTAACTTCAGACAATGTCACTTATTATTTATTAATCAGAATGGTGGATTGTTATGTTGAAATGAAATAATGTACTGTCCAAAGTAATTCTTTTACTTGAGAACCGTTAGTGATTACTGTACTACAGTGGTCCCTCGGTTAACGTGCACAATTCGTTCCAGAAGGTTGCTCGTTAACCGAAATCATTGTTTCAATGGGTTTTTGGGTAATTGGTTCCAGCTCACAGAAAATTGCCTAAAATCAACAAAAAAGGTATAGTTCACTTACTTTCAGGTGTGTATGTAGAAGGCTCCTGGATGATGATGATGATGATGATGATGGGAATTAGAATGGGGGTAGAGGAGAAGGGAGAAGAGAAGGCATTGGGGGTGGAAGAGAAGTCACCCCATGGTGTCATTTCACCCAAAAATTTTTAGTTCTCTTGGTGTAATTCACGATTATTTTCTTTAAATCAACACTGCACTGCATTATCTATTGTCAATATGTAAAATAAATTTCAAATTGACCAATAATTTGCTTGGAAACACAGAAAAAAAAGCGTTTAGTTGAAGAGTCTCAAGCAAGATGTTACCTCCACTGAAAAGACAGAGGCTGACGCCTGTTTGGTGTGTTGACAGGCTGTTTGGTGCGCATAAAACTAGTTTCCTGTACTTCAATTATGTTCAATAATTGTTAAAATGACTAAAATATTTAATATTAAACTTTTAAAATTATTGAATAGTATAAACTTCTTGATATTTACTTAAATAGTAAGGAATTTAAGCCCTAGAACCGATTACTGTATTGGCGGACTAATACTACAGCTGGTGGACCGCCAAATGCAAGCGAAAACATGTGGAGGGTTGCTCGTTAAAAACTCATTAATCGAGGGATTGCTCGTTAACCGAAGTTAGGAATCTTATGGTAGGTAAATCGTTAACCGAAATCTCGTTAACTGAGGCGCTCGTTAACCAAGGGATCACTATATACTAAATGTTAGGACGGGCAATAAACATGAACCAAAATTCAGTAGGAATAAAGTCTGATCATGGCATAGAACATTTATGATAAGGCTTAATTCCTACTGATTTTTTATGTTGCTGTTTATTGTACATCCTAATTATAGTAATCACTAAAGGTTCTTAAATAAAAATAATAACCCAGTACAGTATACAGTACTTTTTATTTTTATCTTTTCAGCTGTAAGATACAGTACTGCAAAAGGGGCTGTGTCGTCCCCTTGCAGGAATACTTACCAGCTCCGGAGAATTGTATTATTATCACAGACATAACCATTTGAATTTGAAGTGTTGGTGTGCAGTACTTCTCAGGAATGAAGACAAGAAATCATAACAAATACCCATTACTGAAGGGTTTGAAATATCTGAAACAAAAATTATATCAGGTTTCTTAAGTAATATAGAAAATCCTTATTTTGTTTCACATGATATAAAATGCAAGATACAGTACACTGTACAATGTAAAGAGTAGTACAGAACAGTAGGTAGTATATTACTGATAATTGTATTTCAGTAAACAACAATAATTGTTACAAAGTTAAGTTCAACTGGTCATCCAATTTTAGAATAATATTAAAACTCCTGAAATATAATTAATATACTGTATACAATATACTGTACATGATTTGAAGATAATGTAAAGTAAATCAAACCATTTTCTCTCCCCAATAGAAAATCAATAACCAATGAAAACACTAAAACAGGTATTTCATGAAATTATCAAACACATCCAAGTTCAAAGACAAGTTCTTACTGATTATTAAAAAGACAACTTCACTGATATAACAGTCATGTGTGAAATGCAGCGCCTTCATAAGCTGGAACAGTTATACGAACAAGAAGAGTGTCATATCATGCAAATTGTTACAGCGGAACCTCCTAAGAATATTATATTTTATGTACCAGGTCTATTTTTAGTAGCCAACAGATTTTGTTCATTTACCTATCTCAGCCAGGGGAATGTATGCCAGTATTACCTTTGTATATATAGTAATCCTCCCGTAAGGCAGAATCCTGATTCCCCAGAACTCTCCAATAGGTGGAAAACTTCCGGGAAAACTCTACATTCCGAGCATAGGTGGGTTAGCTGCTTGGGTAACTTGTATGCTTAGTTCATATTCTGTTGATATTGTACAAGGTTGTTCCCTTGTTAGCTGCTGTTTTTGCATACAATCTGTGTTGTGCAGTACTGTACAGTATGTACAGTGTATATTACTGTACCAGGACACAATCAGTCAATAATAGTATTAAAGCAGTGTTAAGACATAAAAAAGTGATTACAGTTACATATACACTGTAGTGTACTGTACAATCAGCAGTGAGTACTGTAAGCCTACTTTAGGCTAGTGTGTAGAGGTGTATGTACTGTACAGTATACTATACAGTGCATGTACAATCCCTTCATGGAGGGAGAGGATCGACAATTAGCAACAGCAGCTACAGTAAATGATACAGGACAAAGGCAGGCCATCCTGTATCATTATACCACCATTTGGCCTGCCTGCATCACAAGCACAAAACAACACCATCTGCTGGTGAGTACAGTACAGTACAGTATATTTTGTTCATTTATATACCCTAAATCACACCTTGGAAACCCATAGTTGATGAGTAATTAGCAGTGAAAATGTCAGTAAAATCTTTCAAGGGTCATTTTGGCCACTAATTACTCTGCAATCGAATCATTTCCCACATATTCATCAGCAAGCTCAGTTGTACCTATACTGTGATTTTCAGGAAAATTTAATTTTTGGCACAAAACCACCAAAAATCTAAGTCTTACACCAGTGGTGTCAAACTCAAAACCTTTCAAGGGCCAATTCTTATTTTAGTTACCCTCTTCAGGCCCAACACAAGTGCTATATCACATATTTGCAGGATTGAAGTTTACAGTTTCACACATTGCCTTACCTGGCTTACCAGGAATACCTCATTTGGGTTTGTCCTATCTTAAGTATGTAAAATTCATTTTACTAAATAAACATGATTATATCTATTTCTTTCATAATTTCACGGGATGATGAATTTTACTGTCATGCCGCGTTGCCGCGGGCCACACCTGACCATCCCAAGGGCCACATTTGGCCCGCAGACCATGAGTTTGACACCCCTGGTCTATACTGTATGGCGTGAAATAACATTTATATTTATCAAGGACATTGTACTGACAGTCTTCAATAATATTTTCAAAACAAATTAGAAAATTCAATTATATTCCACAAGAAAAACAAGTCACTTATATAGAGTATACAGAGCTGTAGGACAAGTATGGTGTATAAAACTTTCACAGATAAAAAAGTACAAATATAGAATTGTTTATCAGGAAAAATACAAAACGAATGTTCATTAATTTCTGTACATACAAAAGAAGAGTAAAGGTATACTGTATGTATTAAGTGATTGCAAGTCTTTTTTATTATGATGACTGTGAATACCTTAGGCTGACTATACAGGTAATCTTGGTAAAATTTTCTCACATATCCAAGCATACAGTACTTAATTTTGTTACCAAATATGAGATGAGGACACATATACTGTACCAGTACCAGGTAATATCTCATTGTCCTTATTGTCATGAAATACTTGATTAGTGTAATATGAGTACAGTTAATGATATTGGAATGTAAATAATGTATCTGTTGTTTTCAAACAATGTGCCTGCCATTTTCATGACAATAAAATATTTTTTAATTTGAAATTTGGTTGTGAACTGGCAATGCCAAGTTTTTTTCTGCAATGATTTTTTTCCCAAAAGGGGTGGATTTCTGTTTCTCTTTCTGAGGTTATATGGTATTTTAGCTAAAGAATCATACAATAAAGAAGTTAATATCACTCAGTAGAGAGAATATTATTTATTTAAAGGTGTCCTTCATATCTCCCTGACCATGTTTAGTTTATATTCCTTCTCTTTACCTCACAAACTGCTACTCTCCCCACTTCTTGTCTTTCAACACCATTGGAATGGTTCAAGGCCTCTCTCCAGCAGCCAGCCGCCTGTTAATATCCCTCACAACAGCAGGCACATCTTTGATGGAATCGACTACATAGTGGCTGCCAGCATCATGGAGGATCTCGTAAGACCTTGTCAGCTTTCTCTCCAGCTCCTCGTGTGGCATTATGTTCAGCTCATGCTGTGATGCTGCCATGTAATTCCCCTGCAACACACAGTATTGTACCACAACAAGAATATAATAGCTCCAAACCATTACACTCAACTCTCACTAGGAGAATGAATAAACTTTGACCTATTACTGCTGAAATGACATGATAATATAGTAAATATGGTCATCAAACTCAAAGACCAAGTGGAAGAAAGTGACATTGAAGAAATCTAGGGAAGATTAGCCATTGATGAAATATAAAAAGCCTTGAGCAGAGAATCTTCATCACATACAAATAAATCATGAACATTTATCTAGTCCAGGATACACAGACAAGAAAGATCTCAGCATATGAAACAGTTAACACTGATGATATGTTCAAAAAGACCTTCAAACAGTGTGTGTTGTACAGTGTGACCCTACCAAACATCAAAGGCTTCCTGGTCTCCGGTTTCCTTCTGTATTAGTACCGGATAGACCAATTGCCCGAACTGTTAGTAATCTAATAATAATAAAATGATCCAAAATACTTAGAAGATACCAAGGACCTGTGAAGGCCTTGTAGTCCTTAGGAGACTTGAAGGGTTTAAGGAAAATAGTGAGTTCTTGGGGACTTGGGAAAATTAAAATGATCTCAAAATGGCCTTGGCAACAGATACAGTATTCACTAACCGTCTTTGCAACAGCTATGGTCCAACAGCCAGCAGTCAGACCCTCCTTAATACCATCCACAGTATCATCCACCTTCACTATCGCCTCAATAGGGCTCACGTCCATGCGGATTGCATTCAACCATACCTGGCCAGGGAAGGCTGAAATTAGTGGGTTACATGATGTTGTGATGGTCATGCAGTGGGTGACATCATGTTGTGAAGAAAAACATACTTACAAAGTGTGAGGGTTAAATTTTGTTAACACGCATGGGGTTTTCGTATGCAAATTTGCATATGAAGTACAAAATTAAAATAAAATAATTTTATGCTTGCATGTGAATGCTAAACACGCAAGATGCACATTTAGCAATGTCAGCGGGATCTGGCAATTACAGTATGTAAACTGCATTCCAAAGTCACCACACCAAATTCTCCTCATAGGCAGTTTTTAGCATATAGATTAAGGATCTGTATTCAACAAATTGAAATTCTGATTATTAACTGTCCTCAAAATCATTAGCATAATTAATTATCAAAACTTCATATTCTCAGGTACTAGTAAGACAATTAATTATCAAAATTGCAACATTTCGACCACAGATCCATAATCAGCATGTCGAGGATGACCTATACCGAGATTTTGAGCAAAATTAATTTTTTCTCCAAAAAATATTCTTGTAATTTTTTGGGCCCCCCAAAATTAAATTTGTTTAAAATCTCAGTATAAGTTGCTTTAGGTGTGCAGATTAAAGATCTGTCAATGAAAAGATGAACTTTTGAATATTAAGTGCCCTCATATCAATAAGCATAATTAACAAAACTTAAAATCAGTCCAACCAAGGATCAACTCTAATGAGTAAGAGTACACTGTATAATCTAGGCCAAACTAGTGATAAGGCATAGATTTACCTTGGTCTAAACAAGGGTTTATCCTGGGCATTGTTAATCATCACATAGGACACAGTATTAACCCCTTCACTTTGGGGATGCCAATTTTGATATTGATAATATTTGGCTAATGCCAGATGATTTTATTCAGTTCAGAGGGGAACACATACACAAGGGGGTAAAGCTATTCTTCAAAATTATAGTGCAGGGGCCTATCTTGAGTAAGCCAAAGTTTAACCTAAAGTGAAAAGATCAATTACTCACCATGTAGGGCATAGGTCTGGCTTGTGGCACCTCATCAGCAGCAACAATAGCATCAGGGACATAGCCCTGTTTAGCAGCAAAGGGTTTAAGCTTTTCCACAATGGTTGAGGGGTAGCCTGTGCACGACCCTATTTTGATACCCATCCCCCGTAGCTTATCTACAGCTTCCACTGTACCTGTTAATAAGATAAGGGTTACCTGGGTTAATGATGGTATAGTTGCAGAAATGTGTTCCTACATTGCCTGTGGTAACCTGTCTCTCCAAACGGCAACATCGCAGTACGGTAGTAGTATCACTATTTATGAATGAATGGGTATTGGTCATATAACAACAGACAGGATTGGTGGATAGATTTGTAATAGGTCATATAGGTTGGCCATTTGGAGACATGGGGTTACCACAGGGGCTGTAAGAACACATTTCTGCAACTATACCAGAATGGTACTATAATGTTATGATGAAACAACTCTATGTCTAGTTGTGTACTGGGGTATTAATATAGGTAGTAAAACAGTACTAGATTAAAGAATGAAACCCTCGAAGATCCGAACTAAAAGGGGTGAACACCTGCCCGAAGACGCTGATTGTCTGTATCTTCCGGTAAATGTACTAAATGTATAAAAACAATAAACAATGATATAAAAAACACCTAAAATACAGTACCATATTTTATGACATAATTATATGATGCACCCCCATTTTAGCAGGGAGTATTTAGGGAAAAAAAAAATGTGTGTGTTTTCCTCCTGTAGCCATAGTTTTCTTAAAATAATATAAACAGTACCAGGAAATGTGAGGAGTAAATAAAAATAATACCAATAAATAAGTTGGAAAAAAAAAATACTATACAATCATCCCTTGGTTATAGCGCACTTGGTTATCGCGATATTCGTTATCACGCCTCCATCAAAATCTGCACACCTGCCGTTATAGCACATTTTTCAGGCCGAGAATTTCGTTATCACGCAGTTGCCTCCAGGTGTTTTTACCCATTTGCTTCACCTACATCTATTGAGGATAAAATCTTTCACCTACAAATTGACAATAACACATTTGCTGTAATCAGACACATCTAAGTTGCCTCAACAATTACAACCCCAGTTGCAATTGGGGTTGCAATTTCAAATTCTGTGTCATTACTAAGGAATAACGAAGTCTCGGGTGCACTGTAAGATTGAGAGAAAACGGAGGACTCAGGTGTCCTAAAGCGATGAGAAAACAGACTCCTATGACGGGTGACTCAAATAAAGAAAGCATAGCTACATGTTTTGTGGACTACAGTATTGAGCGTGCCCTTTTCATCACTTTGTAATAAACCTAGCCATGCCTATATGTGTTTCTGAAACTTACCATAACATTATCTATGTCTTTAGTGGGTCTAAATGGTAGTAAAATGGGAAAGTTGGGGTTGGGTCTTGGGTGCCTGGAACCAATTAGAATAAATCCCACAGGTTCTGTACTTTCATTATCACGCACTCAGCGCGGTCCCAATTAGGAGTGATAACCAAGGGATGACTGTATTGCCAAATCAGTAAGTTAAAAAGCCAAATAAAAATCCAACACAGTCGCCATTTGCATACACTCCGTGCTTCATCATAGCAACAGAGACCAACTGGGACTCCGATTCCCTAGCAACGCTACCCACCCCCTATACCCTGTGCTCTCCTCCCACTCTCTCACTGAGCTAGCTAATTGTGCAAAGAATTGTACCTGTACATTCCTTTTATGTATTTGCCCTTAGGCCAATTATTGCTTTTACTTTTTTTTACAACACGGATGTAGGATGGTCTGTGCATGTAACCAAGTAAAAATAAATGAAGAAATTACGTATATCTACCTGAAAATACAAGTTGAAAACAACCATAACACCTCACAGCTTGACCCAGTAGCCTGGTTGTTACAGTGAAGAGTCTAACCTGGCTACAATGCCATGATTAATCACTATTAAGCACTATTATATCAGTAAACACAAATAATAACAGTAAACCCAGTGAAATACAGCAGGGAGCGAGGAGAGTTACAAGAGCAGACGATGCTCTAACTAGTGGTTACTTACTCACTCCCATTGCCAGGCGTGCAATGGGAGAAATACATATCTTGTAGTCTAATTTGAAAATGGTGACAGGCACAGTGATAAATGCCAATGAGAACAACTTTCGTATCGAATTTGTGTGGATCCCGTCCCATGTTGGAATCAGGTATCATGACCGTGCTGATAGACTGGCCAATGAGGCATGTAAGAAAGAAAATGTTGACCGTGACCTTGGCCTGTCCTATGCTGTACTTAAAAACATTCAAGTCAGAATCATGAACTCTGATCTAGAAGAAGTGAGAAATGCAGAGAGACCTGGCAGTTGTAGCATCAGTAAATATGACAAATTTTGTGACAAGAGGTACCGGTATAGCCAGCATAAGGACAGAACCAAACAATGTGATGTAGTCGTGGCCAGAATTAAGCTAGGATACAGACACATCTGGCAGGTTAGTAACGCTGTACCCATACTGGAACACTCAGCATGTAAACTTTATGATAAACCTTTAAAGCATACACTTGAACACTATATTACTGAATGTGACACTGTCAAAGACTTCAGGTCACCTGACTTATTGTATCTTGAACTTTGTAATTACTACAGTACATTGAATTGGGGATGCTTGAGAACATTCTTGCTGTTTATCCCAAATTTGCTAGCCCACACTAATTAGTCTTCAATTAGAATATGACATCCAATGTATGTGAACCACTGACCTATATACAGTATACTGCTTATGAATATGATGTATTTCTTTGTGTACGAACATTTGTCCTGCATGGCAGTGAACAGTGACATTACCCACATGAATGTGACCTATATATAGTGTCAATGAATATGATGCATTTCTTTGTGTACGAACCTCTGTCCTGCATGGCAGTGTACAGTGACATTACCCACATGAATCTGACCTCTATATATATATATATATATATATATAGCTGTTAATGAATATGTTGTATTTCTTTGTGTATGAACCTCTGTCCTGCGTGGCAGTGAGAAGTGATACCACCCTCAGTGTCAAGACCTGACTGAATTACTCAGAATAGGCAAACTATACAACTGAACAAGCTTTGTCAATCAATTTGTTAAACTAAAAAAAAAAGGCATTTACCTACAATAACATAAGAAACATTGTATCATTACTAGAGTGAATAAAATAATATTCCCACAAACAACAATTGACAATTCTGTTTATGTTTCCCACCTCGGACACCCGTGTCCTGCACGCTGACATCTTAGTTACACGGGCCTAAGATGATCTTTGCTCTGTTTTGGGAATGCTTCCTAGGGAGACTTCTTCACCCCAGGAACCCCCAAATTTTGTCCAAAACTTCTGAAATATGGATTTACCGGGTCCGAATCTTCGGGGGTTCACTATACTGTACTATGCAGTGGAGGCTTTAGCATGGTGTAAGTCTAGATAAATTAAGTTAGGTGCAGCATCAGAAGTTAATGAAGATTCTTGTGGCACTAAACTACACAGCGGTGCAAGATTAATGTTTAATAGGTTACTCCAGGGGAAAAATAAATTCTTTATGTGATACTTGTAAATTTCAAGGCTAATATTTATTACTTATTTCCATGGCAAAAATAAAATTACAATACAATGTAATGCTCAACCATTAATCCAGAATTCAGTTGTTAAACATCAATTCCTACTCGAGGTATCCAAAACTACTGTATCTGAGAGATAAAAAATAGCTAGAAATACTGTAGAGTAGAATGATGCCATAAAAATAATAATTGGATATCAAACCTGACCATTCCAATTGTTAATTTTTTTACAACTCAACCACTGGTCCTTTCCTATATCTATATCCTTCTATCTCACTCTGTCCCACTCTCTCTTCTAATGCTGTATCCACATCTCTATATCTCTATATCTTCCATTAAATATTCACTCACCTATGTACCGGTACTACAGTTTCGACCAAAAAATTTAATATTTGCAATTAATTTATTCTTCAACTATTCATTGTACCCTTCAACTTACCATCAATCAACATGGAGTGCTTTTGCAATGCTGCTATATTTTTGGGAACAAACTTCGCATACATGCGGTCAACATCAGCTGAGGTAGGAGGGCCATCCTTGGCCTTCAACCACCGTGCTCGCACTCTCTCCACCTCCAACATCTTGCATATGTGGGCCTGGGGAGGGGGAACATAAGTCTCACACCCCTAGATTACTGGCAAAATCTGAACAGCACTAAATTAAAACTAGAATGGTAAAAATAATATTAATAACACAGTAATAATTAAATTCATTCAGTAAGATGCAGGTTTACTATGCAGGTATACAGTTCAGTATGAATACAGATAATGTAGGTATGGCCTACAGTGTATGTGGGCCATGGGAGTACAGTACAGTATAGTTTTGCATGTATCTAGACCAAGCATGCCTAATCAGCAGCCCACAGGCAGTTTCTATATGGCCCCCTCCATAATTCAAGGTGCCAAAATGCATGCCATCATCACATCTGAGATACCATTTTTGTTTATATAAGTTTAAATTTTAACATTGTATAGTGTTATAAAGTAAACAAACATTTGTTTCACCTCACACCAATGTGTAGGCCTCAGGTAATGCTAGACAAAAGTTTGGCACTCTTGCAAAAAAGATAGATCACAACTGTTTTAAACATTCTACATTTTCAATTATTTTAAGGCTAATTAATTAACACTAATTACCTGAATTTTAAAATTCTGTACCCATATCCTTAACTGGTAAACCTCCATTTCCAACACCTCTCTCTGGGGGCTACAGTTTGAAGGGAGAGTTGCACATTTTGTTTACAATAGTTCCAGCTAATAATACACTTGATGAATAAAGTCACTGTTCTTGGACCAATGTCAAGCTATGTCAGTTAAATAAACTAATTTAACAAAATAACTATTCAAAGTATACTGACAGTATTAGGTCAAAAGATACTGACATGTAGACAGACAATTACTTTGTAAAATGGTCAGATGGTTTAAAAAAGATGAGTAACTTACTCGCTTGTGCATACCCATGGGTCCCCTGGCCTCCTCATTAGTCACATTCACACCCTCCTCTATAAACAGTTCAATAAAGGTCTCAGCAGCAGAGAACACACCACAATCAATCACTGTTCCTGAAATGGGGAATGAGGTGTGAAGACTTGAGGATACCATGTACTCTGAATTAAAAGACACCAAGCACAGCATGATACAGGAACATAAGGTAAAGGTAGGGGCATATTGATGCTGGAATATGTTACTATTAAGACTTGAAAAATTATTTTCCTGAAATTATCAGGGTCACCATGGGATGTGTTTTCATAATGAATGCACATGAAATATGAAGGATCAATTCTGACATCTCATTTCACTGTCTATGCCAGAACTAGGTGGCATTGTCCAAGATCTATTATCCAGGAGACGTTGACATTAGTGGCAGTGATTTTAAATGATTAGTAAACCTTCCTTGTACTACACAGTGTACCATAGTTTTAATGATACACACTTTCAATTAAAAATTGCACAAATTGTGTAAATAATAAAGTAAACAATAAAGTAGCCTACACTTACCTAACATTAGCTTCAAAACTATAATTCTTGCATCCACAATTTTCACCTACAGCATAGCACTTTCCCCACCCACATTTAGCCATCAAGATCCCTACACCACCTGTCACAACACACTCTCACTCTCTGGCAGTCAATCTTGCTAATCCATCTTTCCATATAGTTTCTTGTACAGAAAATGCATCTCTCTTTCTGAAGATCACTGTCTTAACTTCCTCAATCATTCTTCCCAGCATAATATAAGCATTCAGACCTCCACTTTGCTTTCACACAATTTCCTTTCATCAAGGGGGAAAAGAAATAGAAATCATGAAGTCTGTCCAGGTAATACTGTATGTGCAATCAAAATGTCATTTGGGTACATTTATAAAATTTAACTGGATAACAGCTTTTGAGAAAAAAGGTTGGCAGCAGAGATGTGGCAATGGTCAGAAGAGCCATGAGGAGCGGATATTCTGAGAGCAAGAAATGATACAATTATTTAAAAAGAAGTTTAGAAGGCATCCAGTAATATCAAGGATCCATATAGGATCATTTGAGGTGGCAAAGTGCTTCCCCTGCACACCAACTTGGTCAATGTGAGCATAATACAGTAACAATTCTGTGTTGGAGGTTGAAATTACTCGGCATGAGAAGTCTGGCTGTGGGAGTGATTCCAGAAAAAATTACCTGGGAGCTGATCTAAGAAAGCCACCACCTGGGGATTGATTCTTGAGGACATCATCTGGGGCTTATCTAAAAAAGGCACCACCTGGGGACTGACTCTTTAAATAAACATCATTTGGGGGCTGAGTCTGGAGGACATTACATGGGGACAATCTCCTTAGAATACACAATCAGGAACCGACACTCTGGGACACACGGCAGAAACACTGACCTGCCCAGTCAAAGATGGCGGCCTTAATTTTGCCATGGTAGCGTCGTGTGACCCTGTACTCACTGCGAGGGTTGACCAGCATCTCATCTGTGAATGCAACACATGTAAATCATAATGCCAACAATACTTGTTTATAGGCATACCAAGAGACAAACAGTATTTTGGTGATGTTAACACTTCTGTCAGTGCTGGATTTAGGAATGCTCAGTGTGTATGGCCAAACAGGGCCTGCACATTTTCAGGGCACCCAACATTAAATATAGAAAAGAAAATATAAAATGCTTACAGGTACTGTATATCATTTATCTAATAATGTTATTAACAATACATTAGCTGATAGTTGGTTACTTTTGGCTTATTATTACAGTACTATTATATATATATATATATATATATATATATATATATATATATATATATATATATATATATATATATATATATATATATATATATATATATATATATATATATATATATATATATATATATATATATATATATATATATATATATATATATATAACAATACTGTAATAATAAACAAAAAAATAACAAGAAGGATTCAGGGAAATTTTCATATAATTAGTCTGACAATTTTCCCTTAATGGCATAGACTTTAACTACAGCAATGTACTGTAAATGATTATTGTAGATAAGATATAACCAAGCAGACCTACCTAACTTAACCTAACTTCCTAGGATTCACAGGTTTTATTACTGGTATCTCACCCTACTGTACTGGGGTGGTGGGTAGAAATAAACAATTACACAAGGAAAAATCACTAGGAAAAGGTCACCAACAAAAGAGAAAACAGTACAGTACTGTAGTTTGGCATCAGTACATGCAGGGACAGTATTTCTTAATGTAAATAAGATAAACCAACAAAACCTACCAAACCATGGATAGAAAAGCATTATTTTGGGTTTACATTAGGTAGGTTGGTTAGGGTAATTTTTTTTTAGTCAACAGGAGGAAGGTTATAATGTTAATCCAAGTGGAAGATCAGAGGAGCGCTCACCGTTTTTACTCTGAAATACTTTTAATTTTATCCTCTTCACCACTAGTCAGTTTGTTAGCTACTTGTGTGGTCGGTCACGTCTCTGTTACGCACAGTTGGCAAGTACTGTACTGTACTGTACTGGGCATGCAAAACCAAGGAAAACCAAAAGGTAAGGAAGTTGTAATTCCTGCTCCAATTTCTTTCTATTCATGAAGTAAGAAACACATTTTCTTTTCTTTTTTTTTTTACTGATTTTTCATTAGGTAGTGCATTTTCCCAGGAGTCAGTACATACCTGGAGCTGATTACCCAATTTTTTCGGTAATTATATAGGACTAACCCGCGAGCGAAATTGATTGAAAACAATTATAATAACGACGGATTTTAATTGTTATATTATAGTGGACACTGTTGTAGTTTGTGGAAATATGTTAAAAAAAATTGCTATTTTTAAAATAAACGCTACTTAACATTTGTGGGTATGAAGAACAGACCTAACCAACCAAACCTTCCTAACCTTACCTAACTTCCTCAGAATATTAAACAGAAAGAACTTGTTATGATATGGTTAAATTTGAGGCATTTTCTGAAAGTGAGATGATACGGCTGGCGGGTTAGTCCTATAGATTAACCATTTTTTCATTAGGTAGCTGGTTAACCCGTCCCAAAATCCTGAATTTACTAATAAATTCACTTACTATTTACAGTGTGGAGTTCCATCTTTACTTGATGCTACAGGAGTTGACACCTCACTTAACACCTCAGAAAGTAAAGAGTGACAATGTGAGAAGAGAGTAAGAGATACTGTACTAATCCACCTTTCTTGTGTAGGTCGCCTGGAGAGGTTGGGCAGGGTCAGTGTTGCTAAGGGAGTACAGCCGTGGCTAATGGACAGCGAGGGAGTTAGATTATTTCAAATATCTAATGACAAACAAAAAATAACTCTTATCTACCACCTGTGGGGTCAAATAACAGCCTCACTCTTATGTAAACTGATAATTACTCATTACATTGGTACCAGATTTACTCAAGGTTAAGTTACGGTGCACTTTGTGTTTTGCGGCTGGTTGCCATCACGTGTTAGCTTGATATGGTTTACAATTGGATAAGTATGTTTATAAATTATGCAATTGTACAGAAGGTCAGTATGAAAATAGACAATGTAGGTAATACTGTAAATCAGTTAAGGCAACTGGGTCACAGTTCAAGACTGAAGAAGCCGCAGGTCCAGAAAACTGTGAGAGCAAACTTTTCTGAGTGAGGGTTGAGAACTGTTGGAACAACCTGCCAGAGAGTGTTGTGACGGCACCGAGTGTGAGCTGCTTCAAGACAAGACTGGAGCGGGTTCAGGTACATTCAGGAGCCGGTGCATGCCCAGTACTTGCCAACAGTGTGTGACAGAGACGTGACCGATGGCCCGGGCGGTGAAGAGGATTAGTAAAAATCAAAGTAAAAGTGAGTCGCTCAGCGATTACTTTGGAGAGCAACTTACTGCACTTACGATGGAGCTGCAGATTCTCTAGTTCACTTCCTTTATCGTTCTTCTCCATCATTTCCCCAAGATGGTCTACACTTGCTGTTGAACAGTGACAAGATAGAGCCACCGCTTTCTCTAACTTGACACGTTTCTTGTTCTCACTGTCCCGTTTCCTTGGAGCGGTCATCACAGGCAGCGCCCTGTTCACACACGATACACCTACTCTGCTTGAGTGCCGTTTCGATTTTTCGTGATCTGCCAAACGAGATGCTTTGGGAGCTATCTGTATTCTACAAACGTTGCAATAAACATTTTCACTTCCATCACTGGCTCTACTAACCCACACGTATTTTTCTTCCCATGATTTTTTATATTTTCTACCACTGTCGTAGGACCCTTTCCATTTACAAGTGGACATTTTGAAAACTAGCACTCAGAATTTCAGAAAGTAACTCAATGGCTTTGTAAGCTTTGTAGCTTAACCCGTATACACGTACTGCACTACTGCTGATGCACGGCAAGCTTCACGGCCAACACTCGCGCCATCTCGCGGCCAAATCGGCCAAACCGTTTTTAATTTTTGATTAAAATTCGAACAAATCTTTTTGGATGGGAAGCATAAGGTTATTTTTGCAATCTACACAAAATAAAAGTATCCCCTACAATATCCACTTAAAATGTCACAATAAAACAAATTTTCACTTAGAATTGAGAGCCCATTAATTACATAAACATATCTATAATCTACAGTGTACCTTAATCTGAAATGGTGATGGGGCATGATAATGGTGGAGGACTTGATACCACTAGTTGACGTAAGCAAAAACGTCTAGTCTGTTACCGTCCCCTGGTTCTTCCTTCTCGTATATGTTTGCAGAGTTGAATAGCTCCATCATGTGTGGTGTTACTTTGAAATCTCTGCAACAACCTTGGAACTGGAGGTGTGAGCGAACTCTAATAATTGCGTCCAACATTTCAGAACCGAGCCGATTTCGAGATTTGGTTTTGACGTTGGTTACCGTGGAAAATATTCTTTCAACAACAGCATTGCTCGTTGGTGTTGTGAGGCAAGCCATAGCATAGGTCCCTAATTCTTCAAAGGGCCGCTTATCTGTTGAATTCTTGTATTGCAACACCCCAGACCAGAGAGAATATAGCATCTCTGGGAATTTTGCCATAAAAAACTGACTCCTCCGCCCAAGACAAATGATGTATTTTTCTGTACTGCTGCTCAATGATATCTTCTTTTTCACTTCGAAGGTAAGGCAGTGGAAGGTCTTTGAATGGCACTCGATCAGCCTGGCACTCAAGCCTTTGAAGATCCCCGTCGATGCTTTCCACTTGTTTTAAGGCCTCGATTAAAAGACCAGCACATCGTTTTTTACTTCATCTACCTTGCCTACTGCTTCAGCAGAGTGATTCTGTTGGTTTATGAAGGTGTACAACTCTTGCATGAATTTGGCACCATAGTCGACCATGTTTAGTGGCAGTGGTTTTCCATTCCTGTCAAGGATTCTATCTTGCAAACTCACTTACCAGTTCTTCAGGATCAGCATCTGTTGTTTGAAAAAGAGATTTAACTCTTTCGAATTCTGTAATGATTGGTGACACAAAGTGAAAGTACAAAAAATTGACTGGATCCTCCAGCATACCCAGAAATTCTCTTTTTTTGTCGCGACAGGAAGGATGTGCCCTTGGAATTACAACAGCAAAGTGGGCTTTCAGTTCCTCCCAGTTTAAGAGGATATTGTAGATGACTTTTCATCGAACTAGTCATCGTGTACATTGTAATGACCACGGTCGAACATGTTAGTTAACGTAAAATCAGACGATTCATATTGCGCTCAATTGCCCACAAAACATGTAGCTATGCCTTCTTTGTTGAGTCTCCCATTTGAGGCATCCGTTTTCTCATCGCTTCAAGGCGCCTGAGTCCTCCGTTTTCTCATTTTCTCTGACTTCCTGAAACCAACCTCTCTATAAAGTAAATCTGAATGTGAGAGAGAACACCATTGTCTTAAGTCAACTTAGATATGTCTGATTACAGTTAAAGCATACGAGATCCCTTGTGAGTGATGTTGAAAGCTTTAACTGTCTTTATTGTTCGTAACACTTGTTAAGTAAGTGAGTGTCGAGTCTACCAGTACGAATGGCATCCGATGATATTGTCCCTGGGGATAGCCATGAATTTCTGTGTACACTCGTGTTGGTGATTTACGAAAAAAATGGCCCGGGCAATTTTTTTTCGTAAATCACCAACACGAGTGTACACAACTTCAAGCTCGCAAAGATATCATGGAAGACGATTATTAGGAAATACTTTTTGCGCAGAGGGTGGTTCACCTATGGAACAGTCTACTAGCCCAAGCTGTGGAAACGAGAACAGTAACAGGGTTCAAAATAGCCTTAGACAAGACCATCAAGAATAATATGGAGAGAACCTGCACAGCCCACTGGCCTCCCTCCCTCGACTTGGCCACCTCATGTTTAAATGGCCATTAGGTAAATAATGTAAATATTTGCATACGGTATGTATGTCACGCAAAATAAACATCACAATCTAATAAAACTTCAGAATAATACTGATGTATTTTCAGAATTAAGATTTTTTCCCTATCGTTCCTTTGATTTTATGGAAATGAATTAATTATATTCTTTTATCCTCTTCACCACTGATCGGCTCGTTAGCCGCTTCGGGGATCGGTCACGTCCTGTTGGCAAGAACTGGGCATGCACCGGCTCCTGAATGCACCTGAACCTGCTCCAGTGTTGGTCAAGTCTGTTTCATTTAAAACGTCTATTTATAAAATATCCAAATATACCTAAAATTTAGGCCATTTCAGGTTAAGTTAGGTTAGGTTAGTACTCTGATTGATAATTATATGACCATCAATATATACAATCCAATTTCAATTAAAAGAAAAACGTAGATATTCTTGGTTATAAAACACATTACATTAATAATACAATCACAGACTTTATCATCATATTTTGTTCAGTAAATAGAGGGTATTAAAAATAAACTACATTTAGTACTTTATCACTTATAATTATAGATCTTGATAAATATAATTCCTTGTTAAGATGTCATAACAAACAATAACAACATTTGTTATCATAGTATTTCCTAAAGTAAATGGAGGGAAAAAAATAATAATACATTTAATACTCTATCACTTACAATAGAACATGATAATTATAATACCTTGTTAAAATGTCATAACCGTGTACAGTACCTTATAGTGTTATAACAAGCGAAAAGAAAAAATACATTTATGATAATCATAAACATTGATAAAATTTACAGTTTCCAATATCAGAAGAATCAACGTTAAATATTATTACGTTTTTCCATTTTCATTTCTTCTATATTTACTTTTTTTTTGAGAAGGCGAGCCCACATTAGCCAAAAGTAGATGTTAATTTCAGAGAATATACTGTAGTGTAGATTATGAAGAATGAAATGCGAGGAAAGTTCTCAAAAGCTCTGAATAAAGCACAAGAGTGAGACAACAGGATAATTACGAGCACAAAGTTACATTGTTAGAGCTTGAATTTTTGTTTTATAAATGTGAGAGAATACGAGAAATGAGAAGGTGATGTTAGTTTTGTGAAAGGTAAGAATAACTATAAATGGCGAGGCTAAGGAGAACTTGAAGGGATTGCATTCGTGAAATATGTGAGGAAGATGGTCCCTAAAGCCTTGTTTGTGATTATTGAAAGAGATATGTAAAAAAAAAAAGAAGAAGAGCAACTTTAAAGCTTCAATATGAGGAACTTCGTTAGTGTGGAAGACCAGAGAAGTAATGTGTCAGGCGATTACATGGATGAAAGATTGAAACATTCGTACGTTCCGAAAAATGGAGATTAGTTTATATTTGTAAGACACAGCTAACACTATTATTAATCTACTCGAATACTCTACAACTATTAATCATTGATATATAAGGACACAGCTGCCCATTGGTCAAAATCATTAAAATTCGGACAGTATCGCTGGACAAAAAGGTGCTATATATTTTTTGTGATATTGTGCACCTTTATACATCGTATCCTACAACACCATTATATACACTGCTGTGAAGTATCAAGATAAAAAATAATAGCGGTGATTTGAATGACAAGGAACAGCTTATAAACTTACAAGTACTGTATACTCGAATGTCTAAAATTAGAATCTTAAACAGTTATTTACATATTGGAAGACATTATTTGCATTTTCAAAGGCATATTACACTGGAAGACTTGGTTACATAAGCACTATGTACATGTAAAATGCCTCTTGGTTATGGAAGGCAATGTAGTTGAAGATAATAGAAGATCTGCATATAGAATAATTATTGAAACACTTTGCCATCATTACAAACGTCGGAAATTGTAGCAAAGCCGTGGTACCTCTCACTCTGCATAAACCCGTGTTACTCCAAACATTTTTTATACGTAGACGAGAGATATAATCAAGACCTAAGGGTTAAATTAACCCGAAGCGGGAAAAATACTGTAGAAAGGAGCACATTATTAATTATAATACATAATTTTTCTTATCTTCAATTAGATTAGATACAAGTCCTTAGTTTGAATGGAAGGCTTGTCCTCCTGTAGACTTGTGCTCGGAGTGTCTTTGTGCTCGCTTGTGGGACTGTCTATGTGATTTTCTATATTATCTGTTACGCTAGAAAGTTGAGGATCTATAGATCTATCAGCCAGTACCTTTTTAAATATTTTCTTATTGTCTTTCTCTAATTGACTATCAAAATCTCCATATTTTCGCAGTTCGTTGTCATCCGGCTGTTTTCTTTCATTCGAATCACAGCATTCCCCAACATTTCGTTTTCTACGCTTGGGAAGCGTACTAGAACTCTCAATACAAAGTACGATCAGTCGGTTGTCACAAGTGATCTTCTGTTGATCGAGGAGCTTGAGGCTGTGTAGGGCTGAGGCCATCCCGAAGCCGCTGGACGAGGTACTGGACCATCCGTTGCAGTTGTGACTGAGCGACGTTTCCCCGTACCTATTGGCACCATGCCACACGTACTTGACTGGCCTGTGAGGACCATGGAGGAGCATGTAAGTCGACGCCACAAAGCGAGTTCAGGGTGATGAGCATGTAGGTTAAGTATAAATGACTTAATGGTATAATTATTGGAAGTTGGTGTTAAATGGTATTAGTTAAGGTTAAATAAAAAAAACCAGGTGCAAACAGCGGAGAGGATTGTAAATATTGGGAGTGAGTGTTAATATTAAAAGCTGGTGGTAATACTGTACTCTAAGTGGTTGTTAATACTATAAGTGGTAGCAGTAGAAGAAAATGTAGTAGATATTTAACCCAGAGAGAGAGAGAGAGAGAGAGAGTGTGTGTGTGTGTGTGTGTGTGTGTGCAGTGTTAGAACTCACCAAGAGCTGTCTCTCAACACGTCTCTACCATCGAAGGAGATGATCCTGGGCTGCTCAAGGAACTGACCGCCCTCGCCTGCCACAACATGTCTCCATGACCCCAATATAACATTACCCTGGGGAGAAGTATATTGGCGTTAGGTGGTGGAAGATGAAGTAAATTGGGCATGAAAGCGAAGGGGGTAAAATCCATTCCTTAACTTCCATTAGTAAATTAATTGGAGCTTTCATGTTTTTGTATAGGGAAAAGGTTTATCACACTAATATCATTTATACTGTGATGCAATTCATAGATGTGCATCACTTACTTGGAGGTTGATGATTGGCTGTTGTCTGTCAGTGAAGCGAACCAATGAGGCTACGTCATGTCTTGGTCCAGACAAGAGCGCCCTGTGAGCCGATAATACACATTGATATAAACACTATGAAGTATTTAGTAGTTATTCAAGGAACCAAATACCCGATATAATAATATTGCATTAATGGGAAAATTATCACCAGTGAGTAGACAAAAATCTTAACCTAACCAGACATCTGAGAATAATATCTTCATTAGTGTTAAAAAAACCCAGATAGGTGTGTTTAGTAAATTTAAATAATCCCAAACCATATTTTAACATATTTGTTTTGTTGTGTTTAAAACTTGAATTAAGCATCCTTTGTGTGTTAATGACTAAGACATTTAAACAAATATTTAAAACAAAATTCGCTTATGAGTGCTTGCTGCATACGCCTAAACAGTGGAAACAGAATATGGTCAATGAGCGAGCAGCCGTAAACCGTTAACCGGATCTGTGTAGTGTACCTGAAGGATCCTCGCAGACCGGCTGTACGGGCCTGTCTGTAGCAGGCGTAGTCGGCAGACGACACGCCTCGCACGTTGCCTGACCACGGCTCGTTCAGTGCCGCCAACCGTAACTGTCAACCAAATGCTTCAGTTATTAATTCAGAAACAACAAGGAAGTTAGAATGGAGAACTGCATTTATACTTAAGGATATTTCATATAGTTATTTTTCCACATGATCTTGTATATTATCTTAGAAAACAAAATGATGTCCATATTCTCTCTAAGTTTCATACGTCATTTTCCCCTAACTGTGAGGACACGTTTGACTAGAGATGTGAGAACATACAGTATCTGTGTCTGAAACCCCGATTGGCTATACTCGGACATGCATACATATATAATTAAAACCTATCTGCAAGGGTTACTGTTTGGCAGCCTTATGAGTAGGCTACGTGTTTGGATATCATGTACCCTTGTGCTTGGAAACCCTATATTCTTTTGTTTGGAAACCTGTATTTTGAGACTTCTGTTTGGATACCTCGTGTTCTTGTATCTGGAAGCACCGTTTTGTTTTGCCTTGACACCTTATATTCCTTCTTAATAGATTCGCCATTAAGGCAGAGCAATATTATTTACCCCTATACAAAGATATTTATACAAGTGAAAGATTAAGAGATAAAGAAATTAGTGAAAATGAAGATAATTAATTAACAAATATTCTTGGAGGTTTGATAAGACTTTATAGTATATAGAAAAAATGGAAGATGCAAAAAAGTTGTATCATAGAAGTAAAAAAATAATAATAATATATATATATATATATAAGTACACCTAACTTTTGACAAATTAAAAGACTCACCTCTTTCAGATTCCACACTTCGTTCTTTTTGGCCGGGAATAACAGAAAATGTAGTCAGATTTATGCACTAACTTAAATATTTTTTATTTATCACAGGCTCACCACTGCAGCAAAATAAGACACAAACTTTGAAATAGTAAAAATCTATGAACAATATAATATACAGTATGCAAACATGAAGTGTCCGGTAGTCTGTTCTATCTATCTACGAAGCGCATTTATCTATATCTCTTAATCGTAGACATTCACTGCTGCCTCCAAACAAGACAAGTATTTGGTAACAGTTTATTTCAAGAGTTTTTTTTATTACTAAATGGTGCGCTTTGTAGTCATACTGAACGAGAGTGTCACTGTTATATGTACAGTAAACAAGGATTATAACATTTTATTGTAAACAAGAAAACAATTTGCTATCTACCTCATTGTCTGTAGTTAAAGGCTCGCCCCACTGTGAATAGAAAAATTGGTTAATGCGTTATATTGATAGACTTTTCACCATCCCTAATGATCTGTCAGGCCTATGGGACCCTCTTTTACTTTTCATTGACTGTTATACTGAATATGTTAATGTGTTATACTGACTGGTATTGGTTCTTTAACTATGGGAATATATTCTGTGCCAGTGTATTATACTGCTTGAGTTAGGGCTATACTGACTGGGTTAATGTTTTATACTGTGTTAATATTTTATAGTGATATATTTAATGCGTTATACTGAGGTCTCCCACACCTACCCATGACCTGCCGGCGCTGTGGTCGGTGGCTAGTTCCTCGGGAAGGGTCTCCACGTTAGGGTTGATGGACGTGGATGTGGAGGGGCGTGGCGGTGTGGGCGTGAGCTGTGGGGCCAACATGTCTCCAAGCTGCACGGTGAGGAACAACAGGTAAATATACTAGAAGGCACCTAGGAAGAAGTCTTTATTATTATTCATTTTATTATTGCTACTAGTTCAGCAGACAGGTAGTAAATTACCCATAGTTCAACAATAAATTAATTACCAGTCACATAGTAAAGTAATTAACAGTTATGTGGTATGTTAAGTGTTACTTGATCTTTAAGTTAACTTCAAGATGAGTAGTAAGTTAACAAGTAGCTCTGTATAATGTACAGAAGAAGAGCAGCACTGACCGTGACCTCCCGCCACCCTCGTGTTGCTCGCAGGAAGAGAGAGTCATCGTCCAGGACATAAGCAAGTGTTCCCCTGTCGTGTCGTGACCACGCCTGGGAGGAGTAAGGGTCACTGAGTGCTTACCTATGGCAATGGCCAAGAATACACACCAAGAGAGACAGAAATTTAGAAGGAAAACAATAGAATCAAACTGCCGGACGGACGGAGATAAGAAACTCTTCTGGATTGGACTCTAGATTTAGTGTACAAAATCACTAACCACTGTTCTGACTCAGGAGATCTTCGACAGAAGTTTATGAACTTAAGATTAAAAAAGTTACTATCGTATTTTGTTTTATTATTAAAGAGCTTAAACTTTGTGTTACCTGTAACATTGCTGGTCTTGAAGTGAAGGTGAGTGGTGAGCTGGAACCTAAACCTAAGCCAAGGTTCGGTGCCTTGGGCAAGGTATCGAATATACTCTCGCGTGAGCTTGGTGGTCCTGGAAACATACTCCAAGTTTTATTTTGAACAAAATCACACTAAAACATAACCTCTCGTGATCCACTACAACACACATGCTAGAAATTCAGGGCAGTTCGTGTCTCCTTTGGATTCGTTTTACAACAAACTCCTACTCCGCCTTCTATTACTTATTACACTTTATACTACGGACATCCTTGAATCATTTCTGTATATAATTGATTCACTATATTGCACAATTCCTTGATTCCCAATTACTCCCATATTCAGTACTCACCAAAGCCGTATTTCCGTGGGGAGGCAAAGGCTGGCGATCCTGGGGTGCCGGGTGGTCCAGGGGGGCCCTGTGGGGGGAACTGATTGTTAAGACTAATAATTATACTGATGATGCTGAAAGTCTAACCCGTTGGCCTGTGTGGCTACAGTACACAGAAGACTAGACCTGTGGTGTACAAGGAGACAACCTAATCTTGACTGTCACAGTCTGCCCTCTCTGACATGGATGCACACCTAAACCTAACCTAACCCAACCCATCTTAACCCAACCCATCTTAACCCAACCTATCCTAACCTAACCTAAGCCAAACCTAACCCAACCCAACCCATCTTAACCCAACCTAACCTAATCTTGACTGCTCCAGTTTTCCCTCCCTGATACGGGTAACCAGCTCCCACAATCGCCGTGGTGATATCTCCGTCGGGGAAGATTTTAGGTTCTTGCCCGGACCACCAAGGAGCACAACCTTGGCACCCATGTATAATATGTGTGTAAATTTTTGTCTCCAATGGCTTGGTTGGAGAAGACAGAGAAACACACTCACAGACAGACACGGCATTTTATCATTACAGATAGATAGATGGCGCTTGTGTATCACCTAATCACTTTTTACAAACAGTATATCTCGGTCACACTTGTACACACCGCTGGACCTGGAGGACCGGGTACTGGGATGAACTGTGGGTCGTTGGTTACTTGTGCTGGAAGACCTGGGGGGCCTGGTGGTCCGTGGGGGCCTGCGGGTCCTGGGGGTCCCTCTGGTCCAGGAAGTCCAGGAGGACCGACAATTCCCTCGCCATCATCAGAGTCGTTGTCCAGTCCACCTCCCAGACCGAACCCGTTCTGGCCAGGGCGAGGACGACGCTGAGCCTGTCAAGATGGCGGGTTACGTGGAGCTGAGTGACTGACAGCAATTATACAGAAAGTAAAAATTATGAAGTAAATGGATAGGGAGTTATAGGGACTGGGAGGAGTGGTAAAGTAAATGGAACAGATTTTAGAATATGTGGGAGTGGCTGATGCACTTGAAGGGCGAGTTAGAAAGATCGTAGAGTAAGTGAGAAGGGCCATAGAGAAAATGGGAGGAGTCACAGAGTAAATGGGAGGAGTCACAGAGTAAGTGGGAGGAGTCATGGAATAAGCGCTTGGGGTGCTAGAAATAATACTACCCAGTCACTCTCTTTAACCCTCTCCTCTTCCTTTCGTTCTCCTGATGTAAGATGCAGAAATATTAGTTTTAAAGAGCGCTGGAGAATCATAGAAGTGTCGGAGACTTGACCAGGGCTGTACTGCATTGAGACAAGCGACGTGAATGAAACGAAAACTAGAATAGAAAATAAATAACTGAAAGCAGCTCCATCAATGTTACACCAGCAGGTACGTACTCACCATGATACCGAAGACGCCGCCGGGGGTATAGGTGGCTCCACGACCCATAGCGCTGATGCCTGGTCCAGAAGGGCCAGGTGGGCCAGGTGGACCTCTCTCACCCTTGTCTCCCTTGATGCCCATTACGTCGTACGCATAGGTGGTGTCCCGCGCTGCTGTGAAGAGTCCTGGTCAGGTGAGAGGTGGCGGAAGGGGAGGTTGGAGAGGGTGGAGGTGTGGTAGGGGAGGTTGGAGAGGGTGGAGGTGTGGTAGGGGAGGTTGGAGAGGGTGGAGGTGTGGTAGGGGAGGGTTGAGGGTGGAGGTGTGGTAGGGAGGTTGGAGTGGGTGGAGGTGTGGTAGGGGAGGTTGGAGAGGGTGGAGGTGTGGTAGGGGAGGTTGGAGAGGGTGGAGGTGTGGTGGGGAGGTTGGAGAGGGTGGAGGTGTGGTAGGGGAGGTTGGGGAGGGGTGGAGTGTGGTAGGGGAGGTTGGTGAGGGTGGAGGTGTGGTAGGGGAGGTTGGAGGGGTGGAGGGTGTGGTAGGGGAGGTTGGTGAGGTGGAGGTGTGGTAGGGAAGGTTGGTGAGGGTGGAGGTGTGGTAGGGGAGGTTGGAGAGGGTGGAGGTGTGGTAGGGGAGGTTGGAGAGGGTGGAGGTGTGGTAGGGGAGGTTGGTGAGGGTGGAGGTGTGGTAATGGTTTAAGAAGATGGGTACAGGAATAAAAAGACAATTGAGGGTGAGATTAAAGGTAAGAGAAAGGATGAGAAAGGAAGAGAGAAAGAGAAGACAAAAGAATGCACATTGTGAGAGGGAAGACTCGGGGACAAAGTCAAAATATTAATACCGTATATTTTCATCATAGTTAACGTGGGCTACTGCAGTTAACAGTCACTTCAGTAACATCAAAACCTAAAATAACTTACAATAGATCTGAACACAATAATTTTAATACACAATCCCTAAATAGATGCTTCTTGACGTCAACACTCACGATACCTGCACTTCAGTTTGTATTCCTTTGTTAGTCTAGTTGTCCTGATCAAAGCTTTATAGTTAATGGACAGATTCAAGAGCTCTTTGTATTGTATTAAATCCTTTATGCCTTAAGTCCCCCATCATCAGCGCCTCTCCTTGACTCACCAATCTGTTGCTTTGTATTAATTGCTAATGTTACTTATCTTAGGTCTTTTTAAATGTGAAACATCTTTAATATGTTACTATGTTAGTCTTTATTTCAGAGCTTTGATCCTGAGAGTGTGGTGAGCAAGAGGAGGGTATCACCTTGTCCAGGTTGGGGTCCTGAGGGCCCTGGTGGTCCTGGTGGTCCCTTGGGTCCTTTCAGGCCCGGCTCTCCATTCAGTCCAGGGTCTCCTTTCTGGCCCTGAGGTAAGAAATCATGGAAGAACATTTTTTTTAGTTATAAGTGTGTCTGTTTGTAACATTTTACCACAGTTTTGAAGACAGCTGAAATTTGATAGAAAGATTTGAATTAACCCAAGGTGACTTAGTCTTCAACTCGAGTGACAATATCTTAGGTTTATCTGACCTTGACTTCGATGATGGTGCCGTTAGCTATCAACACGGGTCCTGGGGATCCTGACTCGCCCTTTGGACCTCGCCCTCCAACTCGTCCTGTGGGTCCTGCCTCGCCTGGTTCACCCTGGGGGGAAGAAGTGTGATGTGTAAGGGAGTTCCATAGTATACAACACGTACTGTATACTATACCGGCATTGCAGTCGAGCACCTTCACTTCCCCATCTGTAAAGTCAGGTACAGTTCCCATCTACAGCTGAATGGAGTGGGATTGCCCTGGGATCGAACTAGTTTCCCTTGGCACAGGAGGTGAGTGATGTATCAACTCAGCTGCTGCATCCGTAAAGTAAGAGAAAGACAGGGATAGTAGAAAGAGAAAAGGAGAGTTGAAGAATAAAAAAAAGGAAGGGGAGAAAAGGAAGGAAGAAAGAGTAAGGGAGATTGATAATACTAAGGGAGAAAGGGAACCTTGAGAGATAAGGGAGAGTTATGGGACAATGAAAAAGAAGATATAGATGGAGGGGTAAAGAGGAACTTCAGGAGGAAGGAAGAACACAGGAAGGAAGGAGAAACATAGGAAGGAAGGACACTCACAAATGGCCTTATAAATACCCAAATACTCCTGAATAACATTGACCCGGAGACTCACCACAGGTCCTGGGCTGCCTGGGTAACCGATGGAGCCTCTGGGGCCCTGGCGACCTTCTTCTCCTTTTGGTCCGGCAGTTCCAGGAGCGCCAGGGATGCCATCCTGGCCCTTCGGCAACACCACTTCGATCCTTTTGGCTACTGACGGGGCATAACAAAGTTTTGCTATTAGAGTTTATTTATCCTATTAATGTCAAGTGATGTTTAATCTTTCATGTTGACACAGAGACAAATGGCTGTGAAGAAGTTGATAAAGGTGGATAAGATAAAGGCTACGAAAAAAGACTATGATGCTGAAATTAACATACGTCAATCACACACACACACACACACACACACACACACCTGCCTTCCGTGTTCATCATCTCTCCAAGACTTACTCTCTCTGAGGCTGGTCATGTGTGTAGGGTTAGTGTTAACGAAGCCCTGAATTGAAGTGAGCACCATCGTCCTTACTTCCTCCGGGGAGTAGAACTGATTCCCCTTATCACCCTGATCTCCCTTAAGGCCTGGAAGTCCATGTCCTTTAGGGCCAATGTCACCTATGGCAGTGAAGAAAAAAAAGTCACTTACACCAGCGACAACAGTGAGGAATTATCATGTAATAAATGTGTTTTGTGTTGAGTAGTTTGTACTATCCTTAAGCCCGAAAGACCACAAGACTATTCTACAATGAACATGATAGTGTAAGTAGTGTGGTATATCAGACATGGTGATGATATTTCTAATAACTACAAGACAAATTCAGACACAAGTTACTGAGGCTTATGGCTGAATAAAGAACAGTTTTTTTGAGGGCATAATACTGTTGTTGTTTACTGGTCCTGTAGTTACACTGTAAGTAGTGAATAAGACGCATTTATTCCTCTGAGATTCTGTCCAGCATTGACTGTATAATGGGAGTTGATGGAAGAACTGAACGTATCTAAGCAACACATTACCGTCATTAGCTCCTTGACGTGACTAAAGCCTTACCTTCAGCGCCTCTCTGTAATATGGACCAAAACGTTTCCAGAAATTGTAAACTGACATTATCGTGACCATAGACTGGGAGTGAGGGTAATGTAGACAGCACAGCGTTAATTAAAGGAAAGAGAAGAGTATTTTTAATATACTATGTCACTGTAAGTCAAGATTATCAACAAGTTCTTAACCCTTTGAGGACGATGGTTTAAACCTTTGAGGACGACGATTTAACCTTTTAAGGACGATTTAACCTTTTTTTGGACGATGATTTAACCTTTTAAGGACTATATACTAACACTGATGACGAATGGCTTAAACCCCATAAGGACGTTCTAACCCCTTAGTCCTCAAGCACTTAATCTCTCACCTTTCTGTCCCTTTTGGCCTGGTGGTGCTGGGAGGCCGTCCACGCCAGGATGTCCTCGTGTGCCCTTGTTCCCTAAGCGTCCACTTGGGCCTTGGAGTCCCTGATGGATGTTTAGTGAGGATGTTAGTTGAAGTGCTAGTGGAAGTAATGGTGGTGTTAGTTGAGTTACAGTGGAATTTGGTAGTTGATGTGTTAGTGGAGGAATTGTTTAATCTTTTTAATTTTATTTTAGCCAAATCTAAAGAAGAAACAATTAGGTGCACGCCCCCAGGCTCCCCTTAGGATATATGTAAAAGTTTAGGTCGCTTAAGTGTCATGGTTTTGAAGCTACGAAACACACACACACACACACACACACAGGCCCTATGACCCTCGTACGATACTCACCTCTTCTCCCTTCTGACCCTTGAGCCCTGGGTGTCCTCTGTCGCCCTTAGGGCCTGAATGTCCGCGGGGTCCCCTGGGCCCAGTTTCTCCTGTGGGTCCTGGGCTGCCCCTGGGCCCTGGGTTACTCGTCTCCACCAAAGGAACCCCCATCTCTGGATCCACGTCGTCCTCTACCTGTGGCTGAGGGAGGGGGAAGCCCGTCAGTACTCCAACGCCGGGGCACGTATAAATAAACCAACAGGTGTAGTTACCATGAAATTAAACCAAGAGGTAAGAAAACACGTGGGAACAGCATGTTGATAAACCAATGGGGTGAGGATGAGAAGGACATTATTTTTCCTCAGCTCAACGGAGTGTGATGATGGAGCCTCTACCTTGTCAATCACTCAACACAGGACGCAAATTGTCAAAGATTTTTATATTTTTCCTATAACTTAGAAGACTGTAGGAAAACATGCAAATTCCACAGTAAATAAACAACAATAATATCGGCGAAAATAGCGTTAAAAATATACTGCGAAAAATCGTTACTGTGTTCTCGTCAATGATGGGAAAAAATCTCAGGAAAAAAAGTACCTGGACATGCTGGTCTACTGTTTACATTTACGAAAATATATGTTCAAAAAGGAATCATAAATAGTACTCCAAATATAGTAATACTTCATGCAGCATATAATTAATCAGAAGTGGGACTGAAATAGACTCAAACAGTTACAATATTAAGCTGTCTATGTTCAATTGTTTCACCTACTAATGCCTTATGCCGCCCTCCTATACTATCATGCTGAGATAGGAAGGTGGCCACATGCCTATACTACAGTCAAGTGCTGCCTCGTCTCACACACACACATTCAGTAGCTAGATGGAGGTTTAACATCTAACGGACCCTCAATATAACGGACTTTCCTTTCCATATAGTCCGTTAAATAGAGGTTTAACTGTAATTCTAACCATATTAGGCATTGTTATTAAGTGTTACTGTTATTTCATCTTAATACTGAATGTTCTGTCCGTGGAGTGTGGTGCGTCACAAGTCAATGGCGGGAGAAATTTCACTTACTTGGTACCCGGAGTGTAACCGCCAACCAGGCTGCTCCGTCACGACCGCCCAGGGAGAGAGACAGTCAGCACCTCCTCACACACGTACACACACATGCACAGTCACAAACACACACACTAAAGCATATCATATTTTTCCTTAGACCAGAGTTCTAATCTGTATGGTTTTATTACTTATTTTGAATTCTAAAGACAATATTAAGAGCAATGAGCAATATTAAGACTTACAGTATAAGCTAAGAATCTTAATCGTCATCATATACAAAGTAAAAATTACATTTAACTTGAAATTAATAATAATTGCATCACATATCATATCGTTACCTTTCACTTGTAACTAATTAAGGTGGGTGTCGGTGTTACCTTAAATACAGGAATATAACTTACAATGTTTTTTTCTCCACCTGATATGATGTAGTGGTGGCAGTTTGTTATTATTACAAATACACAGCCTGTCCTGTACTGCCTCCGCCATTACTTTAGCTTAGAATACTGGAGAGCAAGAGTCATGGTTGGTATATTTTCACATCATACACACAAACACATAACACATACACACTCACCGTCTTAGTGTCATCAGCGCCCCAGGTCCAGCCCCGTGGTCCTGGAGGTCCTGGGGGCCCTGAAGGTCCCACAGGACCCACCATTCCGTCAGTCCCAGGATCGCCCTTTGGTCCTTGAATTCCCTCAGATCCAGGGCTGCCAAACTCACCTCTCTCACCCTTCTCTCCTCGACGGCCAGGCAGTCCTCGTTCACCCTGAGGCCCTGGTGTACCCTGTAAGATATTCTTCATAAATGGTGATAACACACACACACACACAACAATGACCACCATACACATAAATTGCAATACATTATCATACTGCAGTATAAATGAAAGGTGATAATAATAATAATAATAATAATAATAATAATAATAATAATAATAATAATAATAATAATAATAATAATTAATAATAATAATAATAACTCAAGTTGAACTCCTTAATATCACAGGTTCTCCCCCACGGTTACTCATCACCTCTATGAGCTTATATTATTTATAAAAGAAAAAACTATTTAATGATAATTTAAACCTGTTGATCCTTGTAGACCACAATCCCCCGTATAGGACCCTGCTGCTGTAGACTCTTTCCCCTGTAGATCCCTGACTCCTGTAGACGCCTTCCCCTGCCCCTGTACACCCTTCCTCTGTAGATCTCTGCCCTTCCCCCTGTAGAGCCGTGATATGTAAAACTTTCTCACTATAACATAACACCGTAGTACCCCGCTGCCTTCTGAACCATGGGGGGTCATGACTTACAGACAGGCCTGGTGGACTAGGTTCGGCGTCTCGTCCTGGTGGTCCTGGGGGGCCTTGGCGGATGTGGGTCCTCACCAACTTCACCAACGCCGTCATGTTGCAGCCGCACCGACCATTGGCACTCAGTTCGTCCGCCCACTCCTCCTGAAGGGGAAAGGGATGATAGAGGTATATTGAAGGATGTTGTTGTGTATTGAAGGATGTTGTTGTGTATTGAAGGATGTTGTTGTGTATTGAAGGATGTTGTTGTGTATTGAAGGATGTTGTTGTGTATTGAAGGATGTTGTTGTGTCAAGAAAGGAAAATTATTATTAATTCTGTGAGACAATGTTATCGTCACTTTGGGGAGGAAATTATCATCATTATTGTGATGAAAAGTAATTATTATCATTGTGTAAAGGGGGGGGGGGGATTGAGATAATGTTTATTTAATAAGAAGGAGAAGCTGTGGTAACTAAAAAGTCAATAAGTTTTTACCTATAAATACTAGATAGAAAAGGTGTTATTGTCGGCCCTGTGTGTGTGTGTGTGTGTGTGTGTGTGTGTGTGTGTGTCCCCAGGTAGACTTTCTCCTGTTTGTATTATGAAAGAGGAAGTGTTTTAAAAAATGAAAGACAGATTCCGCCCCACCTCATAACTAGTACAAATTTCTTTCTTTTTAAATAATCGTTAGTATTCATATAATCAAACACCTGGAAACACACAATTTATTCAGTGGTCTAAAGTCTGGTTACTATACTGGACGCACCAATATTGATGTTATGTCATACTGCACAAGCTCTTGACATCTCCTAAACATTTGGTAAAGTTTGGCATTGATTCATTACTTGCAAAATTTACTCCCATGAACTTAGTCCCTTAAGTTTGTTCTTATGACTCCCGTTTAGTTTAGTTCTGGTTAATGTTCTCTCTATGATTTTATCAATGCCAGTGTTCGCTAGATCACCGAGGACCATCGACTTTATTCATTGATGATCTTTCAGTGACAAACAAACTATCGTATAATTACTCCTAATGCAAATGGTTCAACCCCAGTCCCACCTGATGAGATATGCCACCACAACCACTACCACCACGAGCCTCCACAGTACATGTACTCAGTAACACCACCATGACACCACCATAAGCACCACCACCACCCCACCAACTGCTTACGAGGTCACCATGAAGGGCCCACGACTTTTCTGTTAAAAATATCATTTGTAGAACCTCTGTCGGCTAAAACTCATTTATCCCTCAGAGGGTTTTTCTTAAGTCATACAAATTTCATCTGTATAAAATATCTCGCTCCGGGTATTTTCACTCCGAGGCAAGGGGACGCTTCTGTCAACACTGACGCAGGTAAGTCCTCTTATTTTCGAACTATTTGTGATAACTTTGTCTACTATTTGTGATAACTTTGTCTACTATTTGTGATAACTTTGTCTACTATTTGTGATAACTTTGTCTACTATTTGTGATAACTTTGTCTACTATTTGTGATAACTTTGTCTACTATTTGTGATAACTTTGTCTACTATTTGTGATAACTTTGTTTAATATTAATTGTGATAACTTTATGGACTGTAGTATTATTTAATTCATAGTAAATCTGCGACTTACCTGAGGCACAAACAAGCCAGAGGTCTGAAAAACAAAAGAATGTTATAATAATCACCTGACTGAACATCTCGTAACATGTCTTAATAACAAAGTAACAAAAAAAAAACATTAAATTCCTATAACAAACTTTAATACTTTTTGGCTACTTGAAAACAAAATATTCTAAGTTAATTTCTCGTCTCCTTTGATATAACACAGTGTTCATTAATATAAAGACGAGTTTCGTTTCTGGTGGAATGTGGAGAAAGCGAGGTAGGAGAAGGCAACACCAGCAGCAGCATCGCCCTTTACCAAAATTCTGGCCCCCAGCGATGGGCAGATGGCTAGCTTCTCACCGAGTCTTGGCGCCTTATACTGGCAGTCAATACTCACAATGTCAGTCAATATATACGGTCTTCGTCAATATGGAATTTATGGTCTAATGGCTAACATACCTCTACGGAAGAAACTATGATTGAATAGTAGCCATAATTTTTGCATCATTTATCTTTAGATGAGTAAATAATGATGTACAAAGATTTGACAGTTAATTTTTACATTCTCAGATCATCAACAGTGTTCATTTCCTTTAGTTGACACAGGCGGTATTTCCTGACATGGATGACGTTGGCTGGAGAAAAAAGTTGATGAGCGCATTCCATGACCTGTACACCACTTATTGAGGATCTTTGGATAGTAGGTGTACTGTATACGTTAGTGGTGCTGTGCTTCTGCTGTTACCTTAATAGTGGGTGTACTGTATACGTTAGTGGTGCTGTGCTTCTGCTGTTACCTTAATAGTGGGTGTACTGTATACGTTAGTGGTGCTGTGCTTCTGCTGTTACCTTAATAGTGGGTGTACTGTATACGTTAGTGGTGCTGTGCTTCTGCTGTTGCCTTAATAGTGGGTGTACTGTATACGTTAGTGGTGCTGTGCTTCTGATGTCTATTTGGGCTCGACAGAGAGACTCAACTTCAGTATCTATGGGCGTTGCGGTGATTTATATCTTTATGAGTGAGCCTTCAGCCGTAAATGAATCTTCTTTGCGTTGAATTTTGGTGATGTTTGTACTCGGATAAGTGGATTTTAATATTAGGATGTGAACCAAAACAAGATGGCTTTAGTGAGAAACAACAGGAAGTTATTTGACAGTTTGGTTATATTTCTACAAACTCATCTAACGTATCACTGACAGGTATACAGACACATACAGATTAAGTTAATGGCACTGTAGAAAGTATTAGTATGATCCATATGTAGAATAATACGTAACCTAACCTAAACCTATTCCCTGGTAGACAAAGGTATTCATTTATCACATAGCAACTTCCTTTAGAGTTTAACCTTACATTAAGTCACTTACGTTGTTGGAAAAGACCGAGATTCAGTCTTAAATAAATCAAGGTAAAGAACTAGAGTTAAAAATGACTGACAGGTTGCCTAGTAAATGTTTTTCTTCAAATAAAGGGATTTTGGTGTCTAGGAACGGAAAAGAGAGAACGGCTGACTTTTGCGGGAGATCGTTGGGGGTAGATGGGGGTGTATGAGAGTGTTGGTGAAGATTGAGGGAGAATGTTTTGGTCGGTTGAGATGTGTCGGGGAGTTTTGGGTACGGTCGAAGATGTGCTGGAGAATGCTGTAAAGTTCGCTGAGATGTGTTGGGGAGTGATATGGAAGGCCGGGATGTGTTGGGGAGTGATATGGAAGGCCGTGATGTGTGGGAGAATATTTACGTCAGTTGAGATGTGTTGGGGGAAGTATTCGGGACGTTTGGTATGTAGTGGCAAGTAACACCGGGTTGACTGCAGCTGTCTATGGCCAAGTATTGGAAATATTGACTTTATATCACCCAGTTGCAAATGTATACCGGTAATTTTTTCCCACCATTGCTAGGATTAAAACACTTGTATTTTTTTTCTTTTTAAGGCAGTTTTATGATCAAGCGGAGATACTTTGAGATGGTATAATAAAGATGCAAAGCTTATTATCGGGGAGAGTACTAGAAGTAATCAGTTGCCAGTGTTCACCATCTTCACGCGACTAAAATTCTAGGCCACTGATCTGCTGACGTTCGGTGTTTTCTTGGCTTCAACTTAACCTTATCGCTAACTTTTTCCCCCGAGAAGTTAGTGCAGTATACTGTAGTCTAAGCTCTAATCCGAAGTCAGTGATTAGTTCGAGAGAGGAGTGAGAGAAAGACACAAAAGTCTATTATATAAAAATAGAATCATAGTTTAACCTGTCAATCCCTCTGTCAACCTTTGTTAATCCTTCTGTCAAGCCTCCTGTCAGCTTGTGTCTACCTGTCAACCTCTGCCAAATCCCCTTTGAACACCTCTGTCACCACCCTGTCAGCCCCTCTATCAACCTGTCAATTCCTGTCAAACTCCTGTCACCATCTATCAACCCTCTGTCAACCTCTATCTCAACCCTTCTGTCAACGTCTGTCAACCCCATCAACTATAACATCATTATAATCATAAACTTACCTCACTGTCAACACGCTGTCCTTCAGGTACATCCTTATCATACGGTCCTGATGAAAAATCGTATCATTAGTAAACAAACTTTTCACTGGACATTAAATATGAGAAAAAACAAACAACATTCATATACTAATTGCAATAATGTATGGTATGTATGACAATGTATTCATTCTAATGATATTAAACCCATGATACACCAGGGGTTCTAGAATACTCACTCCAGGGGTTCTCTTGCTGATCATAAAAGGGCTCTAGGTGGTCTGGCTTTAGGTTTCCGCCATCGAGCTGTGTAAAGAAAACGTAAATTTTCATTATTATTTTGATTATCTTTATCTAGAAGTTATTCAGAGAGTTTCACACGATTAGTAATGATTATAGAGATTAAATAATCATGAAATTATAATACAATACAATACAAGAAAAGAACGGATTATGGGACTAATTTAATGTATAACTGAGAAAATTATATTCCTGAAACGGTTGTATTAGAAAAAAAAATAGTAAAATCAGTTGTTATATTAATGTGTTTATCAATCTATTATATTATTATTATTTACAAGATAGCCGTCCTCACCTCCGTCATATAAGCAGAATGAGTCTAAACTGCCTCTTACCTAAAGGTCATTATCCCTTCACCCAATGACATCTCTTATTTTGTCATCGTCTTCATGTCACCATTAAAGACTCGTCGTCGTGTCTTAAGTTATTCACACAAGTTAACCAAAGTAATGAAAATGTAGTCATTAACTTTATATTTTTTTTTACCCATCGAGCTTATAAAGGGACCATCTATGTAATGAGTCTTAAGGTGAATATATTATTGTAACAAATTATTTTTTTATTGGGTTACGTGGAAGGACAGGTGTGTAGTGTTATGTGGAAGGACAGGTGTGTAGTGTTATGTGGCAGGTCAGGTGTGTCGTGTGTAGGAAAAGGCTTTTGTATAAAATTTCATAATAAAATAATACTCGATTCCATCTCTATAAATAATTTCTATGTATTTGTCATTTTTTAACATATTTTATAAATTGACGTCGAAATTTTTGCTACAATAGAGAGAATCAGTAGCCAATGGCGACGTGTGGGAACTATTTAAACGGAATGATAACAATACTATAATGTATCTTCAGCAAATCATGTTAAATCGTACTTAATAGAAAACAATATAAAAAAAATCAAAGATATATCAACGTGAGCGAAGCAAAGAGAGAGAGAGAGAGAGAGAGAGAGAGAGAGAGAGAGTTGTGAGTTGACAGGCGTAGACAGATAAAAGTGATATTAATTTCATCATCTCTCTAGTCTGTGTTGCCTTGACCGGCCTCTTGTCATACAGTAGGCCTCTTACACAACCTTCCTTCCTTCCTTGTCACCTTTTTTCCTTCCTTGTCACCTTCCTTCCTTCCTTGTCACTCAACGAAAAAAAAAGACATATGACACAAGTAGCGGGAAAAAAAATGTGAACTTAGATTTGTAACTAATGATAAAGAATGAAATTGTAGTGATGTGGTGGTGGTGGTAGTTGTTGTTGTGATGATGGTAGTTATTGTTGTGATGGTGGTAGTTATTGTTGTGATGGTGGTAGTTATTGTTGTTGTGATGATGGTAGTTATTGTCGTAATTGGTGGTAGTTATAGTTGTGATGGCTGCAGTTGTTATTCATACATTGTGATACATTTTATGGCTCTGAAAATATAACAAATTACATCGGTTGTTGCTGTACTAACCTAACCTAACCAACACTCATATATTTAAGATAGTCATAAGTGTTGCAAGTACTTCCCTAATATGAGCCTTTTAGTGAGTTTAATCATAATCAGATACAATGACCTAAACTTTATACCCTTATATAATGTTTCTATCAGGCCAAGATGTCCAAGGGTGGGGGTAAGGGTGTGGGGTAAGGGGGTGGGGGTGAAGGGGTGTGAGGGTGAGGGTGAGGGTGGGGGTGTAGGTGGGGTGGGGTGAGGGTGGTGGGGGGGTAGGGGTGGGGGTAGGGGTGAGGGGTAGGTGGGGGGGCATCGAGGGAAAAGAAGGGTGTGTTTAGGTAGGAGTAAATTCCTTGTGGACGTAACACAGGAAATAAGGTGGAGATGTCTCTGATATTTTGATGGTGTTGACGACTATGGTGGAGCTGGTCAGGGTGTGAGGGTGTGGGGGAGGGGTGTGGGGGTGTGGGGGAGGGCTGTGGAGGGGTGTGGGTGAAGGGAGGGTTGTAGTGGATAGTGTGTGAGTGTGTGGTGAAGAGGATCCTAGGTTAGTGATCTTTGGTTTTGATTCTTCTCACTGACCGTCCATCATTGCCTTCTCCCTAACATTCCTCACCACCGATATTCTCCCTTTACTACCCATTGCTACATTCTCCCTTCCCTCCTCCCTTCCTTTCCAGTCTTTCTTCCCGTCTTCTCTTCCATTTTTTTCCTTCTCCATCTCTCCCCTCCCTTCCCATTCTTCATTTTCTTCTCCTCCTAATCCCTTCCACCATTTCATTTCCTCCTACTTCCCTCCTCCCCCTTCCTTCTCCTTCTCTCCCCTCCTCCCCTGGACTCTCTCTTCTCCCCCATAGTGACGTTATCACTGTTGGTTCATCCCAGCCTAACTTATGACGTCATTTCCCCTCGTCCTGTTCTCTGATTGGCTAAAGGGGAGTGACGTTTTCCGCACTTGTTTTCCCTCGAGCTCGACTCACAGTGTTACTTATCAACCTCGTGAGCATAAAAAATAATAACCATTTGCATTTATCTCAACACTATACCTAACCTAACCTGACCTAACCCTGACATATAATCAGTGAAATACAGTTTAGTTTATGCAAATAACTTCAGGGTAGACAACAGGTGTAATGGCTTATCAAATACCAAATACCTTAAGATTTCTTTTTTTTTTCACGTGAGGTGCTGGCAGCTTGTGTCAAGGCTGGGCGAATATTTTCACTTTCCGTAAAAACTTGTTTCCTCGACCAAGATCCGATAATATTGACACCAGATGCAATTTTGGCCGCCACAGTAACATGAATATTTACTTTAGCTACATATCAAGATCCAGGGAAGAGTTTGAATTTAGGATAGGCTGAAGCAAACTGTAGTAAAACCTCTATGGAGGGGAAGTCCGTTATATCGAGATGTCCGTTAGATGTGACCCCCCCTCCCTTCTAACGGATTGTATGGAGATAGAAGTCCGTTATATCGAGATAGCCGTTAGATGTGACACCTCCGTCTAACGGATTGTATAGAGATAAAAGTCCGTTTTATTGAGAGTCCGTTAGATATGAAACCCCCATCTAACGGATTACATGGAGTTAAAAAATCCGTTATATGGAGGATTCACTGTACTTTGTAGATTTTTTTGCGGACTTGGAAGGCTGAGAAGCAATGAACTGAAGCCTAAACTATTTTGATATTTCAGCGATTCTATGACTCAGAGACTAATGACTTCCTGTAGTTAAGACACTCGTCTCAGTTGTTTGATGCACCTTCTCTCTCACCACATCATCTCGTCACCACATCATCACGTCATCACATCACGTCATCACATCACATCATCACATGGTAGCTGACTCATGATTGCTTCCGTTCATCTATCCGTTATTGAGTAATTCTTTTTATTTATTCAGATTTTATCATTAGTGTAAAAAAATATAATACTCGTGCGAATACTAAACTTTTTATCACACTAATAATTACAATATGGCTGTATATATATTTTTACTATTGAGGACGCAAAGCAGGTAGGGGAACTATAGTACTGTGGGGCAGGTAGGGACACTAATTAGGGACATAGGACAGGTAAGAGCATCCGTGAGGGCCAAAACATATCGCCCATTCGTGGATGTATCGTGTGTTTGACTTCTCGGCAACACGTAAAATCTAATTAAAATAAACCTTAGTATCGTTATTATTATCGATATTATAGAAAGTATATTCCAAGTTATGTTACAGGTGTCATGTGGTCGTCAGGAGACAGGTAGGTGGAGGTGTAGGAGCTATTAACACGGTAACAGTCTTGGGCGCTTCAATTACCTGTCTTCCGCCCTGCCCCAGCCAACACGACCCCCCCTCTCTCCCCCTCCCCCATCCTCCCCCCCCCACCCTGCCCAACCTCTCCCCCTACCCGCCCCGCGTCTATTGAGTGCCACCCCGGCTACCACTATCTTGCTATCGACAGGTGCCAAACGGTGACGCAACCCAAACATGGCACTCACTGGCCCTCTTAGCAGACGTGTAGAGGACAGGAGAGTTGAGAAGTGTGTTGGAGGAGGAGGAAGGAAGGAGAGAAAAAAAAAACATTCTCTATTTTCAAGTTGATTTTAAGAGAACAAAAGAGCATCACAAGAGATACATAACAGACTTACAGTACGGTGTTAAATATGATCTAATATTCTTCCTAAAAATACAGATGAAAATAACAGAGAATTCATTAAAACTCCCAAAAGTAGAAAAAGAAAACGAGTACATTGATATTTTTGTATCTCTTAGTTATAAAGGTAAAGACTGATGGAAGCACACATAGCTGGGAAGGCTAAGCAGGACGAAGGATTGAAGGTCAAGACTCTCTCCCAAACAAACATTTAGGCTTAGAAATAAAGATATATAATATTGTTGGTACTGTGCTGGTACTCCTAATCTGAGGTTACCACTGTTAGACATTCCATAGCTCGAGAATACCACAAAAAAAAAATCCAGACATTAACTTTTGGATTCAACTAAATGTTCTCCTACGCCACTGAATATTTAATTAAGTTCAATTTTTAACTTTCAGGATTGTATTGTAGTTGACTTAACCTGGATTTAGTTATGGAAGGTTATTTTTATTTATTTTTGTGGGGTTATGTTTACTACAGATCAAATGCCACATACCTTAGCACAGAGAGAGAAAATACGACAAGGACTTATCAGCAAAAATGAAAACAGCGAAAAAAAAACGAATAACCATAAAAAATCTAAAAACAAAACTGATATAAGAGATAAAATAAACTAAAACAAACAAGAAAAACAAAAAAACAAAACAAAATCATCTTAATAAACAACAGGAGAATAAAACCCACGCCACCTTGCAAAGAAACAAAGAATAATGCGGACAACCCAAGCAGTGGGTCGAGACGGAACAAAAGACAATCGATGGCCGCTAATCTGTCATCCAGTACAGCCGCCCCTCCCCCTTCAACCAGTGACCCACCCACCCACCCACCCAGCCAGTCAGTCAGTCAGGACGGCGAGAGGAACGTGCACGGGGCTCGAGATGGACACACACACTCGTTCATATGATGTACACGAATGGAATACCACACA